ATATAATATAGGCCTTTAAAGAAACAAATATTATAACCTATCAAGGACAAAATTTTCATAACCTGTAAAAGATCCAAATTAAATGTACAGTACTATCTTTTTGCATCCCAATAAACTACTATTTAAGTAAGAAGACAATAGATAAAACATACTCCCTTATATTAGTACATTTCTCATCCTTATAGATCAGCTGAAGACAATTTTATTGTTAGTTCTGTCCGGTGCAATGTCTGTAAAGGTCGTGTTTTGTTTACAATTTGTTTCTTGTTTTCAGTCATTTAAAACCTCGTTTAACTAAATAAAACGTTCTAATCATAACTAATAACACGTCCCCTAGTTATATAACCAAACAGTAGAGAACAAATCATGAAATCAACTAAAAAATAATAGAATAGAAACACAATTTCGACGACACTAGCGATCAGTGTCACCGGACATGAACTAGACGCGAAAAACGAGCTTCAAAATGTACAATGGGATGTAATGTTTACTTGTGTTGGTTAGTCTATGGTAAGACTATAATGCATTTTCCATCCTAATAATATTCATAAGAATTATATTAAACATACTTTCGAATATATATTTATTTTATAGACTACATTGCTCTTACTCCTAATTATTCGTAGGATACGATATTATGGTACCGATACGATCGTAGGTACTACACTTTCGGCAACACTGGCCAACAATCTTCGTGCTTGGCTCCCATTGGACGTCGCGAGAGGCTTCTGATTGGGAGTTAGCGAGTTCCGCCGAGGGACCGAGTTAGCGACTTCCGTACGAGGACGGAATTCGCTAACCCGGCTCTAGAGCGGGTTAGCGGGTTCCGGAGTTAGCCAATTCCGAAACCGAACAAGTTAGCGAGTTCCTCTCATCGACCAAATTTGAAGATAGGGCGTTTAACATGGGGTTAGCGAGTTCCAGAGTTAGCCAATTCCGCGGACCCGTTAGTGTTGTCCTTTTCTTTATACAGTCTGAGTGGAAGTGTGCCTAGAATTGGCTCCATCATGACTGTTGTGCCACATACCCCTGTGCAGGCAAGTCTTTGCAGCTTAGCAGCTGCCCCAGTCTGCTATGCCCTCTGCCACCACACCAAGGCTGTGTATTCCACCATAGGCTTGAATATGGCTTCATATATCCACCAGATCAGTCTCGGGTTGAGTCCCCATTTTTTGCCAAATGTTCTTCTTCAGGCGCCCATGGCTCCTGTTCCTTTGGCAATGACATGATCTATGTGCTGTTCCAAGTCAATTTCTGATCTAAGTAAACACCCAAATATTTAGTCTCCTTGACTGACTTGACACCCACTCCCCTTATGTGGGGTGGGGAGATTCTGGTTCTCCTTTTCGTCCTGAAGGTCACTATCTCAGTTGTCGATGAAATCTACCGCCCACTGGGTAATAGTACCTTTGTATTTCCTTCTCACAGTCAGCACTAGATCATCGGCAAAGGCCTGTAGGTTCAGCTTCCCTCAGCAAGCCGTCAACCACGAGTGTCCATAGTAGGGAGTTAAAACTCCTCCCTGCGGACACTCTCTTCTGGCTTCGACTGTGACTGACATGTCGCCGACCGTGGCTGTTATTTCTCTGCTTTTCAGCAGAGCCATCTAACACACGACTTCTTGAGGAATTTCTCTGTCTATCAGTGCTTCCTCTATTGACTGTTAGGACACATTATCAAAGGCTCCTTGGATATCCATGAAGACTCCTGCAAGAATGTCCTTGTGACCTAACATGTCTTCAATTTTCGCTAACAGGCTGTGAAGCGCTGTTGTAGTCGATTTCCCCATCATAAAGGCATGTTGATTCAGGCTCGAGTTCGTGAGAATCTCATCCCTCACATGCCTGGTAATGATCTTCTCCATAGCCTTTACAATGAATGAAGTTAGACATATTGGTCTATGGGATTTTGGCTGAGTTGGTTCTTTTCCTTTCTTTCGTAGGAACACCACTCTAGCTCTTCTTTATCTAGTTGTTATATATGCCAAGGCATAACTGCCCCTATACATTGGAACGAGGAGGGCCTCCTTACAATAGAGCAGGGAATATTCCATCTCTACCAGGAGATTTGAAAGGGCAGAATGAGTTTACTGCCCATTTCACAACCTCTGGTTTCAATATCTTTCCCGACGCCCGTCTGGCTAGCGCCACCTCCCTAGGGGACCTCCCTGGGCGGGGCCAATTGGCACCTTCCCCTATGGGACAGCTCTCCGGGAAGTGTACTCTTAGCATCTGTTGCAATTGTTGATTCTTGTATAGTTTCTATGTCTTATATATCTTTTTTGTGCTGGAGATTTGCTTGTAGGAATTTAATCCCTATGATCACTCCCCCTCCCCCTCTCGGGGGAGTGATGTCCTCCTCTCCCTCCGCGAGGATGATACCCTGAATCCCTCTGTCTGGATTTTCTCGAGCTTCTATCAGACCTGACTGAGGGTCCCGTAAACCTCTCCTCCCTTTTCTCTTGTCTGGTTTTCCTGAAGATCGGGAAGTGATGAGAGCTGGCCACTCTTACCTTATCACTTTCCCTCTCTGTCTCCTTCTCCTTTTCCCGTTCTTTGCTATCTTGTGCGAGGTCGGGTGGTGTGGTACCTACTGGTTCCTTCACCTCCTCCCCCTTTGATGAGGTCTCCATTTCCATGGTTTCTTGGTCCAGGACCGGAGGTGCTACACCTAGTGGAGCTGCAGGTTACAACAAATCACTACTTTACTATGTGTACTAGGTACCTTTTAATTCAACGCTTTGGGGATTTCCCCCTTTATAAAGGAGAGTTTTCCTTAGGAAATGTTCCCAAGAAACTGGCTCAAGTAAAAGAGGCATCTCAGGTATGCTATGTGATGTGTGTTAACTGTTAAGTCCTCCTTGCTTGTATCAAATCAAATCAAAATCTTTATTGTGTTTTTTACACAATCAACTACATGTATGGCATCGTCAAGAATAAATAATATATTACTTGTACATCACTTTATAGTCATAGTCTGATGGCTGGTAAAATAATCTACAAAATTATTTGCATTGTATATACTAAGTTTCAATTGAGATGATCAGATCATACTAATATTATAGATGTGAAAGTGTTTGTGTTTGTTTGTTTGAAGTTCAATCACGCATTAACTACTGGTCAGAGTGGGTTGAAATTTAGTATGATGATAGCTCACATTTCCGATTAACATCTTCATGACATATTCTTATCTCAAAAATAATTTCTGGCTCCGCCCCAGTGGCTCTAGAGTTTCCCATGTTAGTTAACCTTATGAGTACTGTATTCATATTGAAAATGAATTAAAGAATTTTGCTAGCTGTTTCAAGGCTCGCCGGAATTTTATCCCCCTGGAATTTTACCCCCTGGGCAAAGCTGACGTCACTATGACGTAGTAACCTGATCAAAAGTTAGTTCGCAGGCAGAATTTTACCCCCGCGGATTTGGAAGTCTAATGAAAAAGACAGAGCGTGATTAATTAGATTAGCAATAAAAACCAGAATTTTAACCCCTGTCCATATAACTAGCTTTTAGACAACTGAAGATGTACGGGCCGGATTTTTACCCCTTGATTTTTACCCCCGGAATTTGATCCCCGGATTTTTACCCCCCAGAATTTTACCCCCTGGCCGGATATAGAAATTATTTAGAATGATTGATTTTCTTATTTCTATTTTTATTTAATTGTGAACATTTTCTAATTGAGTAGCATATTTTTATTTATTTATTTTGTAATCTCAACTGAGTAAACAGAATTCGCTGTTTAATTTTGGTCATATTAACCAGCAGTTGGCTTCAATGATCGAATCCTGATACTAGAATTTAAAAATGCAAATTAAAAACCTGTTCGATTAGTTGATGTTACAAATTAATTTAAGATAGGCTACTTAACTATAAAATGTTTACCATTCAATTAAAACTGGATGAAGATAATTAAGCCAAGTATGAATGGAGATGAGTGTAGGATGAGTGGCGCGATCTTGTAGTCTTTATGTGGTATTCCCAGATTCAAGAACAAATTATAATTATGTTGGTTTACCTTATGATTGCCAACATCCCACATCCCAATCTTAGAGAAAGCTCTAACACCATAAACTCACCCCCATCCCCCAACGCACTGTCATCAATATATATAAGCTAACAATATACCTAAGTTGCCCAACTAAAAAGATACCTTTAGACATTTTCTTACACAATCTTAAAATATTTTAATATTATGTTGCAACAACACACCAAGACATTTAACATCTTCAAAAACTTTATAATCACTTAGACTAAATTTAAGAACTTGTGTTTTATTTTTATTTAAACACAAGAAATTAGCTGCAGTCCAATCTTCAATTATTTCATTTGATCTAAAAGTTGGTCAATTAGCCTAGCATTTTGACAATTAATCTGGATTGCCAAGTCATCTGCATACATTTAAGATGACACACATACATTTGTCAGAGTTGCTGGTAAATCATTTACATAAACAATAAACATTGTGGGTCCAAAAATAGAACCTTGTGTTCTAAAGTGTCAAAGGCTTTTATCATGTCATAAAAACTACCTAATACCTATTTTTGGCATCTGTTGGATCCGCTAGGGGGTGGGGTGTCTAAATGAATACTCGGGCGTGCGACTAATGGTTTGTTTATTAATCTTCTTGCACTTGCCGATCCTGACCTTGACCAATCTCATCAGGATATTTGCACAACCAATTTTCTATCATTCTAACTGTGCTGGACAGATGATGTCCTGGATTTTCACTATCACCCACAACTATTTCACTAATGTTTATCTAAATGAATAGAGGTAAGTTAATAATTCACTTTTAAATAATATAAAAAATATATATATGTATTGTAGGCTGAACTAACTGTTTTAAAATGATAAATGAGAGCACTTCTAACGATTATTTTAATAGCTACCCGCCATCTTGATGACGTAGGAAGGGAGTTGTTGACATTGAAATACTTGTCCTGGAAATCTTTGTTTTTTCATGCTGAGAGTTTACGGTACTAACATGTACTTTTGCAGCTGCCAAGAGCACTGATAGAGCCCATCCTCTACTCTGCTACTGTGTTTTACATTGCTGGACTGTTTGGTGGAGTTACAGGCTTTATACAGTTCTGTGTGCCAATCATCGCCTGTGCCATCACTGCCACTGCATGGGGTAAATAACTCAAATGTAAAGATGTGTTCAAGCCATATCACAAATGAAGTATATTTTAAAAATTCAAGATTAATGATTATTTTTATTAACTGTATTTGAGAATCAAAAATATGTTAGTTACAGCCATCCCTTCTCTGTGCTACTACAACCCGGTTGCTTGTACGCAACACGGCAATAAACATGTTAAATATATATAGAGATGTTCAACTCCAAATATCGTTAAGGTTTTTTTTTTGGTTGAATTAAAATAATTTGGGGAATTTTCAGGGCAGAAATCTTGCAAATGCATTACAGAAGTTGTATTTGATGCGGAAGACAAACCCCACAACTGATGGGTTGTTTTGCTTTTAGAAATTTCCTCATAGGGAAGTAGGTATTACCGTTGGGGCTTGGTAAGACCTAGGCCCAGGGCTGATTTACTTCTTCATTTTGATGTCCCCAGAGGCCAAAAACACCATTCGTTCAAATTTGTATACATAATATAAACTTATATAGCCTATATATATATATGATATATAAATATATAGATTTATATTTATATATGTGTCCGTGAACGCCCATAACTTGAGTAATTTTTGTCCGATTTTGATGAAATTTGGTTTAAAGGTGTATGAATGAGTTCACAAACCAGCATGATGGGACCTTGGGGGGTTTTATGGGGTTAAAATCGGTTTATCTCATTTTTGACCCTCAAAACACAAAATTTCCCAATTTTTAGGGATGGTCAAGTCTCGAACTTTCGGGAAATTTTAAATCTCGTTACAATTCGAGACGAGATTTCTTTTTGGCCGAGATTTTTATCGAGACGAGAATAAAAAAAAAAAAAAAAAAAAATTAAAACGCCTGCAGAAAGTCAATGCAATACCCGCAATACAGGAGCGTGTTGTAGTTGCGTTTACTTTGCGAAGGCGTTCTTATTTAATTAATTCTTCAAATGTAAATATTACTTTAATTATTTTAATAACATTTGAGAAGTTTTGTTAAGTGTTAGCAGTGTGAGGAATGTTTTATTACTATAAAAAAAGTCAAAACAAGTAACTATTGTATAAAAAGTAATATTTTAATTTATGATTTATTTTATTTTAGGATAAGTTTAACTCTATCCTAACTGATATCACTGTGTTTCCTAATCGTATTTTTAATAAGTTAGGCGTGATAAATAAAAAAATGTTATGCTGATGTTTTTTAATAAAAGATTGTAAATATTCTTGCCTATTATCATTATTTTTGTATTTAAACAGTCATCTAACAATGTTACAAAATCAGGTAAAAATTCCGAACGTGCATTTCCCGTTGTGTATGAGAAGGGAAATCCCGTCTCGATCTCGTCTCAAAATTTTATGAGAAATAAAAAATCTCGTCTCGTCTCGTCTCGAACTAAAAATCCAATCTTGTCCATCCCTACCAATTTTTCTCTAAACCTTTTTAAAGAGCTTAAAAAAACATTATAATTTAGTTTATCAAAGTTATTTGTACGGTTATTAAAATGGAGAAAATTCAAAAAATTGTAAGTTAAGTCTAAAATTCCCATTTTATTCTTATGCAGAATATTGTAAAATGTTGTAGTTTGCTTGTTTATGGATATATTTTGATCGAACTTGACAAATTTATTTGTTTTGTACTAAGATAAGCTATTAATATTTTACTAAAAACACACTTTATTAGTTTCCTTGTAGCATCAAACCGAGGTACTCGTTAAACCTAATGTTATTTAAATAGATTTAATTGAAAATAGACAAATGAAAATTCGCTTATTCAACAGGTTTTGCTGCGGCGGTTATTGATGCTATCGAGGGAAATGATCACAGTCACAGATGTTAAAGAAAATAATATCATAAGCAATTAATTTTTTTAGTCATTTGTTCTAAATATGGACCAGCTGCATGTACCCAATTTTACATTGAAATAAAACCAGGGGCCCATAGCAGCAATTGCTATTGCTGCCCTTCAGCTCCATTGTAATTTGGCCTTTTAACCATTCCCTACGCTGTGCATCATTCCTAAATACTCTCCTTCGTAGTCATAGTCGTGGTCTTCCCCTAACTTGATAAATTTCAACACTGCATTACCATTCTAATCTAATAATACCCCCGCCGCAGCAAACCTGCAGACTAAGCGAATTTCCATTTACCAGTACAGTATTGGATTTTCATTTAAATCTATTTAAACTACATTAGGTTTAATAAGTGCCAAGGTTTGCTGCTACAGGGACGGTAATAAAGTGTGTTTTTTTAGTAAAATACGAATAGCTTAGTATAAAATAGATAAATTGGCCAAGTTTGATCAAATTATACCCATAAACAAGCAAACTACAACAGATTACTTATTCTCCATAAGAATAACATGGGAATTTTAAATTACAAATTCATTCAATTTACGCCGTAACCAAAAAACCGCACAAAACACTGTAATATACTAAATTATTTGTTTTTTTTTAGTTCTTTCAAATGGTGTAGAGGAATTGGAAAGTTTGATGTTTTGACTGTCAAAAATGAGAAAAAAACAATTTTTATTCCATAAAACCCATGACACTTAACTTCTGATATTTTTCCCACCGTACTTGGACCTTTGGCTTTAAAATAAATCCTCAACAGCCATGCTTTCTTTTTCCTAGCTCGAGATATTTCGTGGGGACTGATTTACTAAATGAGTGTGCTAATAAAATCTCAGTCTGCTACCCTCAAGATGCCTCCCCCTTTTGATAGTGATGTGTCATCAAAGATGTTTTAGTATCCACTTATAGTTTAAATTATTCTTTCAGTTTGGCTAAACGTCTTTAACAAGTTTGTGTATCCAACAGAAATCAGTAAGTTACATCAGCAAATTTTGCCAGTACATCGTAAAAATGGCTATAGCTTAAACATTTAACTAAGACGTCTACTTTTATCAATGATCAAAGTTATAAGTTAATATTACTTGTTAGAAGGAGCTGTATTGTTTATTAAACATTTAACATTTGGTTCTTCCCACAGGTTGCTTGATATCAGCAATGTTCGAATCTGTCTCTACTGGATCATTAGTCTCAGTACCAATAGAACAAGTTTGTCTACTATTTTGTGGTATCTTTCTATCATTGAGGTAAATAATATTATGTATCACAGGTTGTACTGTAAATAATTTATACTCTTGAATTTCATGTTGATGGCCCCTAAATTACTACCTATATATGACTAATAATTATGGTACAATTAGCATATTCTCTTCTCTTGAATAAGATTAGCTAAGAAGATGTTGATGTTAGATGGGAAAAAGACCAGGGGTTTGGCTAGACCATGAGACTGGATGTAGAAAGCGCAGCGAATGAGCTCCAACCTAAAGGTGAGTGAGCGTAGCGAACAAACTTCAACCAGGACGTGATTGAGCCATGCGAACGAGATCATCTTGAAAATTAAGAAGTTAAACGGGGCAAAGCCCGCGGGTTACAGCTAGTATGATATATAACACAGATGATTTTTTTTTTAGGGAATTTCCCATATAGGGAATAAGCTATACCGTAGGACTCATGGTAAGACCTGGACCTGGGACCGATTTACTTATTCGTTTTGATGTCCCCAGAGGCCAAAAACACCATCCGTTAAAATTCATATATATTTATATATTATTTTCTTGCGTTCTTGTGTTTAACTTTGTTAACTATGTTTATTTTTTTTTTATTTTTATATATATTTAAATATGTGTAAATATGGTGAAAATTAAAAAAAAATTTAAATTTGAAATTCTAATGTTATTTTTGTGGAGAATAAGTAAACTTTTGCAGCTTGCTTGCTTATGGATACATTTTGATCAAACTTGGCAAATCTATTTATTTTATACTAAGCTAAAATTATTTTACAAAAACACACTTTATTACTCTCCCTGTAACAGCAAACCTGGGTAGGTCGTTAACCCAATGTTATTGAAATAGATTTAATTGAAAATAAAATCAGGCAAATGGAAATTCGTTTAGTCTGCAGGTTTTCTGCGGGGAAGGGTATTTCTTATTGTAAAAAAATTATTAATTGGTTTGAATGAAAACTAACTGGAAGAAATAAGTATATTTAATCCTTTTAACTTAAACTAAATTTGATCCGTAAAAGTAATATAATTCTTAACTGATATTTACTAATTGTTGGAATTCACATCAGTATTAGATTAAATTCTATTTAAGTTGGTAAAAGCTTTAAAAAACGTTAGATCAGATAGCTATTACTTTCAACACACTTTTATTTACAATTTGAACTCACAACAATAAGTATTTAAATCATAACTGAATCTCAGCAATGAAACATCAAGTACAAAGTAGGGATGGACGGGATTGAATTTTTGGTCGGGACGGGACGGGATTTTTATTTCCTTCCCGATTTTCGGGACGGGACGGGACGGGATTTTTTTCTATGCATAAAAAGAAAGTCTTGAGTATTGCAGTTAACCAAAAAAGACATACGAAATCAATGTTTACTGTTTGTGGCTCTGATCTATAAAAACCAAAAAATGGGTAACAATTTACAGGTACCTATAGAAACTTGTGACTCGTGGTCGAAATGACTCGCGGTCACGGTGCGATCGTCAAAATGACCTCGGTTACGGCGCGATCGTCGGTAGGACTCCACGGTCATGTCGCGATCGTCGTTATGACTCGCGGTTACGGTGCGATCGTCGGTATGACTCGCGGTCACCGCGCGATTGTCGGTAGGACTCCACGGTCACGTCGCGATCGTCGTTATGACTCGCGGGCACGGTGCGATCGTCGGCATGATTCCGCGGTTCCTGGATTCCAGGATTCCTGTCACGGTCGCCAATAATGTTGGAATTCACATCAATATTAGATTGAATTCTATTTAAGTTGGTAAAAACTTTAAAAAACGTTAAATCAGATAGCTATTACTTTCAACACACTTTTATTTACAATTTGAACTCACAACAATAAGTATTTAAATCATAACTGAATCTCAGCAATGAAACATCAAGTACAAAGAGAATAAAATATATAACAGCTGATTCAAATTATTTCACTAGCTGTATATAATACTCTGACAAATTCTAACACTAATTAGTAATTACCAAGAAACTTGAAACTGAACTCCTGAACTTTACTCAACTAAATTATGTTTCCGCTTCCACTAAAACTTTTAACTGGGCAAGAAAATCTCATTCCTTACTTTTTTTTGCATCAAGGGGTTGAACCATTTCCTTTAAAAAATGGCCTCTGGCCCTTATTCATTGTCATGAAAAATATGCAAATATAATTTTAAAAACTGTGAATTCCATTTATGAGTTTCAGCAATACGGAGACCCTAGGAAAAATGTTAGACTTATTATTATTTCAATAAATTTGGAGCATCCTTGAAAGGAATGGAATATGTTTAGGTATTGTTTAGTCCTAGATAAAACATACTCCCTTAGTCTCATAGTCCACTTGGTCTTGTGTTGCTAAGTGTATGGTTTAGTTAAGACTCCATAATAATCCAAATTTGTCAAAAATCAAAAGTGCTGACTCAAAATATAGCTTATGCATGATGATAAACAAGATAAAGTTAAAAATAATTAATTTAAGTAATCTTGTTTACAAACCCTTTTCTGGAAATCACTAATCGTTATTTTGGAATGTTTCAGCGATGCGCCCTTACACCTGGCTTGGATAAAGTATATCTCGATGTTTTACTATGGCTTGGAAGCTGTCTCAATTTTGCAATGGACTAGGATTGAAGAGATCCGTAAGTGAAATAATTTTGGTGTTGAAATAGGAACTTTTAAAAATTTAAAACAAATATATTTTTTTTGCATGTATATCAAAAAATTAGGTCATTTAGTCCTACAACCCAAAAAGTTTTCTGGATTGGCAAATAATTTTAATATTTAAGATATTAACTGTTTCGCTTATTGTGTGAAGGGCCGGCGAATCGCCATCCGCCATTAAAACCAGTATTTGCCGAGTTAGTTCCCAAAAAATCCAACAGATCGCATATGCTTCTTGTTCTGCAAGCTTCAGGCTTTCATTTGGTTGTATTTACTTCGTCCACAGCCTGCCCAATCGGCAAAAAACAATCGATTGAAAATTACGATTTACCAGCTGACGTTGGGAACGTTGTCTTGGCAGCTGTCTATCATGTTTGTTTATATCGTCATTTCACAACAGATGTTGAATTCTATTTTTTGTTTGCAAATAGTTGTTTTATAAAATAAATAAGATGGTAAATAGATGGTTTGGATGTGCTAACAAAACTTGATCGGAAATGGTTGCGGTATTTGTAAACAACTTTTAATGTAAACATATCAGTGACGGTGACAGCTAGAAGTGAGAACTAATCCAAACAGCTGATCGTTATTTCATAAAATACAATAGTAAACATTGGGAGAACATTTAACAAAAATCGAACAAAATTGGGTTTTTGATGGTTCGTTATTTTGTTTTCAAAGAAGCAAGGCCATGTTTTTATAGCCAAAGACACTCTCACCAATCCAGTAAATACAGAAAAATGATTAGAACCTTGATCGGTACTCAAGTTTTCTAGGAGTAGGCCGCGTAAAATGACATTTTGGCGTCACAGACGGAATGTCAAAGTGGACAAACAGACAAACAGGCAGACAGACAGACAAAAATTGAGATAAGACTCGTTTCGGCTTTCTTAGGCTATGAAACTTAAAAATAACCAAAAACTGCATGATTATAAGCAATGTACAGACAAAACTGTAATTTTATTTATAGAGATTTTTTCTATCTACACTTGCAAAAATAAAAAATGTCGAATAATTAGTGTTGTTTTGTTTGCTTGCAGCTTGTTCGGAGAACAAAAATGTTCCTTGTATATCAACTGGTGACGGAGTACTGGAAAACTACGGCTACAGTGCTGCAAACTACAGATTGGACTTGCTAGGTCTGGGGGCTTTGTACTGCGTAGCTCACATAATTGGCTTCCTGGCGTTCAAGAAAAGAAGCAAAAAGCAAGCTGCATATTGAAGACTTCAAGAGTTTAATCAAACCATTTTTAAGAGTACATTTTAACTCAATCAGTTCAATCTCTATCCGTCTCAAAGGGTGCACATGTAACAAAATGAAAATACTCATTGAATGACAGTCTTATGACTAAAGTTTGCAATATAGATATTTATAGTTTACTTTTATTTAATTTGGCTGATACCATAATACGTAGATCTAGATACCATAATACAAACAGCTTCCGGTTGACCTTAAAAGCTGTTTAAGTTTTCATCCATGAATTGGTTTCACTGTGTAAGGAGTTTAGAACAGACTATAAAGCATGGCTCACACTAGGGCTGTGAATTGACACATGGCATCAGCTGTGAATTGAAAGAAGCCGCTACTGTCAGCTTAATGTGACCACAAAATTCGCAGCTGACACCGCCAGCCGGTGAGCATTTGTCAGTGGCTGGCAAAGTCGGACATGTTCAACTTTTGGCAGCGAGGCAGCGGTGACTAGTGGTCACGTGTGCCAGCAGCGACAAAAGATAATTTTCATCTTGGTTTTACACAAAAACACCTGTCTCAATTTTTTCAATTAGAGGTTTAACTAATTGTAGCAATTCTTGGAATGTATGTGGTGACATTCGTAAAACATTTTTGTATGTTTCTCATTCACCTTCTTTTAGTTTTTGCAACCAGCTTGTTTGGACCAATGCCCAAAAAAAAACTTGACATGACATGAGTGGACTGTATTGGGAATTTACTAGTGACTCAAAGGTTTGACATAAAAAATCAATATGTGGTCAATACATTTATTTTACTCTACCTTTTAACATTTGGTTACATGTACATCATTATTCTTACTATGGTACATATTATCTGGCCAGATTAGTATAATGATTTTACCAATTAGTTTTATGTTTGAGGCTTTGGGAAAGGAAAGAGATGGGAAGTGACCATATAGTCTTTAGATTTGTATTTAAATTATATACAATAGGGAAGAACTCTGGACATGTTGCTTACTTCAATTCATGATTGTAAAAGGAGAAAGTGGATATACCTCCGCCAGATAAAGTAGTTTTAAAAGTCTTCCACTTGATGGAAGCACTAATCGACACACTGAACCACACAAAATAGTTTGCTGATTTTCCACTAGAGTTCAGGAAGAATATGTTTTAAGGATAGCCCAAACAGGCTTGAAGAAGCTCCTAACTGTTCCTTTATTTGTATCCAAGGTCTGGTCCACTAACGCCTCTTCTTGCAGTTAAGCATTTTTAAATAAAGTTCTTTCTCTTTCACACACATCCTCAATAATCGATTAAGTACTGGTTTATGAGGAGCCAAGGACGAAATGGGAACAAGAACTGAGCTTTAAACTAGGGGATTAAAAGCAGTAATTCTTAGCGTAGAAATGACTGAGCTTAAGTGGTCGGGGAAGCAGGTTATTGATTTCTCAAATTTATTCCAAAACTATGCGTGCTTATGGGACGTTTCTTCAAAGAAGTAGGAACGTGAGTTTTAGGAACGTCAAAGAAGCAGCTTACTGTAAATTGTTGCAAAACCTCACAGCTTTTCATTCTCACACATCCTCAATAATCACTTAAGTATTCGTTACGAGGTCCCAAGACGCTGATCACTAGCAGCTGACAATCTACCTACTGCGACCCATGCAAAAGCCGCTGCTTGGTGGTGCTGGTGCCAGTCGCTGATCACAAGCAGCTGGCGAGCAGCCTAGTGTGACCCGTGCTTATGGAGGGTATCAGCTACTTAATAACATGAGAGTGAATAATGTGTAAGTCTATTCTACATTGGCACTTTGCAGGGGAAAAACATTTCATACATGCCTCGTTAGTGCATGAATGGACTATTCCCTAATACAGCAAGGTGTTGCTGATGAATGCTACATTGCTATGGTTTGTGATTGCTAGTTTTCCTTTTTATGAGTTTGCTATTTTTTACTCACTAACTTATTACCAGTATTTCTGATAACTTACAAACCTGCACTATAGATTATAAGTTAGAAGGGATCAAAAAAGTTTCTCTTATTATAGGCTAACAATTAATTTTGAAGAATTTCATTGACTTCATAGGGCTACCTTTAGTCTCAACATGGTGCAACTAAGACAAGGTTTATTTTCCATATATTTTATTTTTGATCTTTTACAAAACCTAAACTGATTTATTGTTATGTGTAGAGTGATATGAATGTATCTTTTACATCAGTGAATTGTCATTCATATTTATTATTATATGTATATATATAGATTTGATAGTTTATAATATTTTTATACTTGATTTTTGTATAGATATAAATTTTTACCACGGTAATATGTACTTTTTAGTATTACTTTTATTAATAAAATGCTATGAGCTTGATAAACTGTTGCCTTTTTATATACACGTATGGTTCTTAAAAAAATTAAGTTTCTTTCTAAATACACAAGTGCCTGTTTTTAACACGTTGAGTTCTAATAGTTATGAGTATTGCGACCCTAAAATGCAAAAAAAATATAATGTGATAACTAACTCAAAAATGATGTAAGGGTATCCAAATGATAAATCTAGTGTCTCAGTGTCCATTTTGGCTAAAATTGGTGACGTCACTTCCAGGGTGGGAATTCCCGTCCTTAGGTACTGATGCCTGTCCTTGTGCAACCCCTAACTATTTTTCAGCCCCACACGCTTAGGCATACAGTAAATCATATTTTATATTCAATAGTTCTTGTAAAATCAAGATTTGTATAAAAAATATGTTTTAATCAATCCTTACTGAAAGTAACTATTTTTGATAACAGCTGATATAAAAGAAAGTAGTTGTTTCCCAAGCTCTAATTTAAAGCGAGGGAAAAACGATCAGCTGATCTTTTGAGATCGTTTGGGATTTTACCTCGCTCTCAATTAATTCTCCACTATTTATCCACTATGCGCGCTAGTGTTTTTTTAGGTTTGTTTTAATGATTTAAATCAGCTGTTTTTATTGTTGCACAATCTAAATCTATACAGAAACAGGCATTCGTTTTTTGTTGTTGTGTTTTAGCATAGTGCGTGTTTGAAATTGCTCAAAGTATGTCTAACAGTACTGACAATTTGATAAAAACAGCCTCCGAGGTAACTAATCACCTTCCACCAGATAAAATATAAGAACAGGATTACAGAAAGCTTAGAAACTGGTACAAATTACAAAAGTCAATTGAAGTACGGTAAGTGACGAAGTATTTATTAATATATTTATCCAAACAATCTACAGCTATGTACGTTGTGAAGTGTATTTTCAATGTTAAAGTGTGGTCTATAACTATTTTAATACTACTGAGATATGTTGTTCTGTGTGTATATTTTTGTGTCCTGACGAAAAGTATAGTTCATAACTCGTACCGAAAGCTATTTTCCGACACTTGCTCCATTATTCCTATCCTCGGCTTCGCGTCGTACGTGAAAATAACTCTCACATGCTCGGCTTTGCCTCGCATGTGAAATTTGGGTTTCCTGTGTTCGGATGTGCCTCACACATGAAACTTGAGCGCGCGTCGGAAAATACCACTTTTGGTCCTGGGACTGAAATATACTATTCCAACCCCCCCCCCCCCCATGCCATTATAGTCTTTTAGGGCCGGTTTCGGAGCTCGGGACTAACACAAAATTAAGTATAGTTACACATATACCACAGATTTTAGAATACAAAAAGCAACGGTGTACAATTTAGTTATTTATGATATTCTTTAATTTAGTTTAAGCATAGGTATAACAACACACAATTACTAAATTTACGTAAATATTTAAAACAATCAATGTGAAGTGCAATTAATTTTTGTTCAATTGATAAAAAATAGCCTCCAAATTCATACAAAACATCTATACATTGTAATTTTAATACTGTTTCCATGAAAATATAACAATAACATTATTTTCATAACTTTAAAAAATCAAAAGCAGAGCCTGAGTTGATACAGCAAAGGTTATACTGTCCGCGAGAGTAAAGAAGTCCCCTGAGCTCTGGCCTATTTGTAGTTTGAAGGCGTTACGCTTGAACGATTCGCGTGACAATTACTGTAAAGCCGTCTTGACGCTGCTCTGCTAGTTTTGAAGATTAATTTTTGTATTTAATATCTGTATGATTTTTATAAATCTATGTCATAATATTTTTTTGCATAGTCATACAATCAAAGGAAACCCATTTTCTAGTGTTACAGTACTAAGGCAAATTAATAACCTTTCTACTTTATGATTTTTGTTTAGTTAAGTGTAATACCAATAAAATACAATACAATAAAATCCTTTTTAAATCCGATTTTGAAAGCATTAAACCCAAATAATTAGTTGATCCATGAATATACTTATGGTGAATGCATATTACCGGTAATACACGAGTACAGCAGTTTCAATAGCATTCATTGCAATAAACAACTTATTATTAAAGTTATTAATCATATTACCATAAACCTAAGCAAAAAATCAAGAAAACCCCTTAGTTTGACCCAATGTCTACGACAATCACGCGGTTTGACGTGTTCATATCAGGTAACACGCCATTGACGTCTATACTTTGCCAACATTTCTGGAACGTTAAATTACTATCCATCCAAGTTTCATCCAGATAGAAAATTTTCCTTTTTTGTTTCCTTGGCTTTCTTATCTCTCGCAAATACTTAAATCTCCAATTAACGATGTCAGGCCTTTCAATCATACATTTTCTTTTAGGACCAAATTTCTTCCACTTGAACCTCATATCTTTTAAGAGACGCCAGAGTGCCCATTCGCTCCATTGAAAATTAATTATTTCTCTCAAAACAGGTAAATTATTTTTTTGTTCTTGTAAAAATCGCGTATTACATCTACAATTACACGCCTATCAAAGCTATCTATTTGTACTTTATGGTGGTCAGCCTTCTTGCGTTTTTTCCCGGGTGTACAGAGTTTTTCATCCGGAGTTTGTCGGCTTTTCTAATTCGTTTATTAGTTTTTTCTGGAACTTAACAATAGTTTGCGGCACGTTCTGTTGCCTTTTCTATCGGCACTACTAATACATTTTTGTCTTTACATTTGTTGCCACAACACTCGATCACCTGTCTAACTAAATCCCTCTCTCCACTATATGTATAGTAGCACCACGTTTTCTCAAATCCATAGCTACAAGGACCGTCTAACAAAACGCGAACACACGTGACTGCAATGAATCAAATTACGTGACCACATGATGATAATCCACTTACCAAAACAAAGATATGAGTAATTATGTTTACAACAGTTGTTTACAGACAGACATCGAGGCGAGGCGCTCAGATGCTTAGCGCCTGCAAATAGTGCGCGATACCCTCCAAACATAGCTGCGTATCGCCCTGGCTCAAGGGACTTCTTTACTCTCGCGGACAGTAGAATATTTTTTAATATCTTTAACTATTGACATAGTTTAAGAATAAAAAATCTATGATTAAGTTTTAGATTAAATAAACCTACCAAATAGTTGTGTAAAATATTATTATTAACTTATGATATAAAAAGGGGTTACTAACCTGTCGTCAATCTATTGTCTTGGATGACTAGTTTCGGGGTTAAAACCCCATTTTCAAATCTCTTCAGTCGTCAAATGTCATATTTTCTTGCATAAGCCGTCGTCAAAATTCTTCCGAAACTAGTCATCCAAGACAATAGAGGACTGATTGACGACAGGTTAGTAACCTCATTTTATGTCAATAGATCAATCCTGGAGGCAAATTATGTATAAATTATTAACTTATATTAAATTTCTTTGGATGAGCTATCTGAAATTGTGGAATATACAATTTGGCATTTCTTCTTGTTTACATTGAAATGTCAAAGAAAACTGTAAACATTGTGAGTGTTCTCTTAGCTAGCAGCCATGGAGACCAATCAATATTTACTTTAAAATCCTCACCTCAGAACTTTCAAAGCCAAAGGGGCAAATCCCATGGTCAGTACCGAAGTGCAAATAGTTCTATTACCATTCTTGGTATGGTAGCTATATGTTTGTAAAATTTAAGCCCAGTCAGTACAGTAGTTTTTGGGCCTATTAGTGATACACATACAGTGTAACTCATTGATGTAACTTTGGAGGTGATTGTTGATGTGTTAGAAGTTAATTGACTCGCTTGGCTAATGCGTGAGGGCCGGAAATGAGAATAAAATAAGAGTTACTAAATTAATAAAAAAAGAAAGATAAACTCGATCAAACAAATACAATCATAATAGGCCTATATAAGCTGAACACAATTTAAAACAAGGGGAAATGAACCAGCACAGTGAATAATCAAATTAAAGAAGGTAAATAAAACTTTATCTTAACAAACAAATTGGTAATTGGAGTTTAATAAATAAATAATAAAAGCCTTTTTAAATAAATTTTATAATTAAAAATGTAAAACAAAATAATAAAATATTAATTGTTGTTTGAATTTAAAAAAGTAAATTGATTAAATAAAAATAAAAAAAATTAACTTCTAGAACCTTAAATTATTTATCCCTGAGTAAGCGAGCAGGACTTAAATTTTTAGTTTAAATTACAAAATACTTTATGGGTTTTTTTGCTCTGCACACTTCACTGAAGAATTTTAATCTGCTTTTAAAGGCAACAGGCCATTTTAAAAACAACACTACACCCACGAATCACTAACGACCAAAAACTTCAACTCCTGACTGCAGTGACCGGACCGAAGACTTCCTGGAGACTGTCCACTGTTGGTCTTTATGGAATTGACGTCTTCCTATCCGCCTATAGAGACAGCCAATCAGAGGGTGTGATCGTTGGATAATCCTTTCTGATTGGTTGAGACAATCCACATGGACTTGATGTGGCGATCTCAAAAGGTTTACAGCTTGCAGATTGTCTTCTGTCTATCTCCACGATGGATGCATCGATAGCTGAATGTTACACCACCGTGGGACAGGAAATGTATAGACAGACGGAAAGATATGGATGGGATTTATAAGATCCGTGGAAGTAAGATCCGTGGAATTACATGATGTGGTTACAGACACTATTAGATTTTTATATAATACTGTAGTATAGAAGTATAGGTATACAAGCTGCTATACCAGAGTTTTGCAACGGGAAGAGAATGTGACCTAGAGAGCTATTAAAGTAATTCTGATATGTGATTTAAAATACGGCAACTCTGTGATTTAGTTTGAGAATATAAACTGATTTAAAAGTGTAAACCTATTTACTTTCAACCCCTACTTTTTATGTTAATAGATCCAAAAGAATATGACAACATACCTTAGTGTAGCAATAACATGAATTGCTTCATATTGATGCTTCACGAATGACATGTTTTACCATAATGTATTCTTCAACTTTAGTCAAGCCTCTTTACATGTAGCTTACTATATAAATTACAAAATGAAACTTTGAGCAATATGTATACAAAACGTATACAACCTTTCTTTAAAACCAAACATAACCCTCCTTAATCTACATAAAACGTCACAAACATCTTTTTTGAGTAAATAAACAAAAACCACTTCAATGTACTGACCAGCTGTTTCATTAACTGAATTAAATTAAATCATGTAAACTTTGGAAGCATGCCAGGCGCCAGGCGTAGCACTTTGGAAATCAGCCTGTGGGGCAGAGCGCTTAGGAATAACCTTACATTTTTATTGTTAAGGTTTTTGTTACTCGCTCTACCTCAATTGAGAAAAAACGCAAATGGATTACTTACTTCTTTCTATCATAACAGCAAGGTTACATTGCCAGTTCCACAAGGAAACTTATAAAAATATTATTGCACTGGATGTCACAAAAAATCAAGACATTTCAAGTAAAAAAAAAAGAAGTTTTAACAACTCATTTAATTTGCTATGGTAAGTGTTAGTCGCATTACACCAAAAAAAGAGAAGGGCTTTATATACTTATGCATTCAACGGTCACGTTCATTACAGAATTAGAATAAAACCCACCGAATCACAGTCGCTACGGTCAAGTTTTTTTTCTGATTCAGGAGAGGCAAATGAAATAATATACACTGTTCAATAAGAGAAAATGAAAATTGTTATCCAAATCTTATACAAGAGTTATTTAACCTATTTCGACGAACAAATCCATACTTTCAAGCTTTCAAAACGTTGGGAAAGGTGTGAAGAGAAACTCTACTGAACAATGTGAGAATGTGCTGATGCTGAGCATATGCTCTGACTGACATACAACACATTAAAATATGTTATAATTGACCAACTTTCGAAGGTGTTGCTGCTAAGATATTCAAAGCAGAAGATGGCTGACCAGTTGGTAACCCAAAGTTTGTTGTATACCTCAACAATGGTACACATTTAATGGTTGATATCACCCCACTTTTCAGGATTCCCCTATGGAAAAAATCCTTCAATGATCGAGGGATATCAAAGAAATAAAATGACCCAACTTGAATTTACTTCACACAGATTATCAGTGAGGCAATAATTTTTCAGTTTTCCCTCCTGAAAAAAAACTTTGATGTAACAAACTGAGGGCAGAAATTTATGTGAACGTTCCCAATGCAATTACTCTAATTTAAGCACAAAGTTTTCCTCGACATTATGTTTGATACTATATACTATACTATGTACTATGTACTATATTATGTTAGTTCCCTAGTGTATATATATATTTTATTAACGGGGAGAGGGTATTAATAGCTCCGTACCAGTTTGGGTTCAGGGTGAGTTTGTCTACTACCGATGCTTTAGTCGAATTCACTTCCAAAATAATTTCAAATCTGGAAAATGGTGAACCGGCAGTTGGTTTATTTTGTGACTTGTCGAAAGCATTCGATCTGGTTGACCATGATATTCTTTGTCACAAACTTGAAGGTTTTGGTATACGTGGAATTCCTCTTCAATGGTTCAGGTCATATTTAGTTGGTCGTAAGCAATACGTTGAGGTTGGCCTGTTCCGAACTCGCCGAAGTGAGATATGGTGTCCCTCAAGGCTCTATCCTTGGACCTCTGCTTTTTATTCTTTATATAAATGACGTCGGTGCCCATGTTTTTCCCAACTCCTTAACGCTGTATGCAGATGATACCACCATGCTTTTTAAAGACTCGTCTGAAGTTGTTCAAGAGAACATATCTTCAACAATTACAAATTTTGATAGCTGGCTTTTTAATAATAATCTTCTTTTAAATCAGAATAAAACTAATTATGACCAATTTCTAACAAGAAGCAAAAATCCACTGCATCTTAAACTACCACAATCTTCATTAAAAGAACTTTCTGAAGTCAAGTTTTTAGGTGTTGTTATGGATTCTCAGCTGATGTGGCAATCACATATTTCAGATCTTTGTGGTCGTTTGAGCAAGGTGAGCTTTGCCTTGAGAACATTGGTTTCTTTGCTTGATCAGAGGGACCTTATCAAGGTCTACCATGGATGCTTTCAGTCTGTTATATCATATGGTATAGAGGTTTGGGGAGGTTCCACACATGCAGACAACGGATTTACGGAACAGAAACGAGCCGTACATATTTTATCTGGTCTCTCATCCTCGCACTCTTGTAGGGGAGTTTTTTGAAATCTTTATATACTCACACTTTATTTACTATATGTTTTTAAAGTGGTTCTTTTCTTCAAGAATAAAATTGGGTCTCTTCCTGCTGTTGGAGATAGACATAGGTATCCCACCAGACATGGCTCAGATCTTCTTCTTCCACAAATCCGCCTGTCCCTGTCTGAAAGAGAAACTTTTACAGCGGGTATAAAGATTTTTAACCGTCTTCCAACCGGTATAAAAGAATGTTATGGCGAAAGAAAGTTTTAAAAATGTTTGGAATCCTACCTTGTACAAAAAGAACCGCACACTTTTATAGAATTATTTATGTCTGGCTGATTGTATTTTTATTTTTTATATATTGTTTAAATGTTTATATTATTTATTAAATGTTATTACTGTAGTTCTTATAGACAACTGAGATGTATAATTGTAAAGAATTGTACCTATTCAGAAAATAAATGACTTATGACTTAAGCAGGAAACCCACTGGTCCGACAACACATTCCGTCAAGTCTCCGACACCTTCCGACAAAATTACTTTGCATGACTTTAAATGGACTGTAACCCACTAGTCCAACACGATACTTTCCGATCCGACACTTCACGACAACATTGCTCTCTGGGGCATTCTTGTCGGATTGGATCCGTCATTTCTCCACTCTGCGTGCACCAGGCCTAGATTTAGTCACTGTCTAGCTTTGTGAGTGATCATAATATGTGGAACAGATATGGAACATGTGATCACAAGTGTGTGATGTTTTTTGTACAATTATTGGTTACGGAGAAAATTAAAAAAATTGTTATTTTAAAATTCCCATCTTATTCTTATGGAGAATATTGTAAAATAATGTAGTTTGCTTTCTGATGGATATATTTTTATCAAACTTGGTAAATTTATTCATTTTATTTAAGTTATAAATATTTTACTAAAAAAAAACACACACTTTTTTACCCTCCCTGTACAGCAAGCCTACGTACTCATAAAAACTAACGTAATATATGTAATGTAATACATTTAATTGAAAATCAATTCAGGCAAATATAAATTTGCTTAGTCGACAGGTTTGCTGTGGGGGGGGGGGTATTATTGTTAATGTTTTGTATTGTACTTTTTGCTTATTTCCCTGTAGTAAAGTAATTGCAACCGGAATTATCAAGGTGGGTCTAAGTATATTAACAGTTTCAAATCAATGAAAAGATATGGTATTATCATAAAATTTACATAACAATATGAGGAAATGAATATAGATATCACATCTAAAGTTTAAAAAGCTAAATATAAAAAAATCCATTTTATATCCATTTTTATTTGGGGTCCACTAGACCCACACATGCGCTCCAGCGTAAAAAAAAGCAACGTGGGCTTAGGGCTTAGTTACAGTATCACAAAACACCCATTTATACAGTAGGCCTATTTGACGTTTTTACTGGTATGCAATAAATATTTATGCCATGTTGGATTAAAAGTGGTTTTCAGTTATCTGTGGCCTCCCTCTCCCCCCCCCCCACCCATTACGCCGGATATTTGAGGATTTACTGTACTTTCTATCTAACCTAAGGTAAAGCTGGTCTCTAAATAAAACTTCATACCATCACTTCATCAATTTGTATTTTTTGAAATATTTTTGCACATCTTCCTTAGGAGAAGGTTTCACTGCCAAGCAAGTTGCTACATTTTCTGGCTGTTCGATCCATAGCTTATGACTTACTGAGTCTTCTTTGAGTTCTTCTGATATCTTTTTAAGAGTTTCCTCGTCTGGAACCTGGAATTTTAAAGTATTATATAAAACTAGGTGAAACCCGTCGAAATCGACGGTTACTTTCAAGGCTTACGTTAATTCATATAACTGCGATAAATTGGGTAAAATATACATATTTCGAGCATTTAGCATTGTTTAAAGAGTAATAAGTATAAAAATAATAATAATATTAATTGCGTTAGTCGCCAAATTTGATTATTCAATGAATAAAATATTCCACATACCGTACGTCATCGGAGTTATTATTAGTATGGTATCTCTTCCTTTGGAAGAACCTTTAAATAGTATTAAAATCGTATTGGTGGATCTTTTGTAGTTAAACACTTCCGTGATTTCATCAGTGTAATATGATTTTATTTGAAAAGAAAATATTTTTTGGAAGACATATTCTAATTTCAAAGGGAGGTATATCCGTTACAGTGTAAGTTTGATTTTTCCTTCGTCACGTCGCGTCAGTTCATATCGTACTTCTGTGCCAATGAATGAACCCTCTAGCATAGTTTTGAGCAATTGATTGTGGGGTTACTGTTAAACTGGAATTCCTTGACATGGGGGATGTCAGTTAGTTGTCTCAGCCTTATCAGTAACATAAAGTTGTCAATATAATCTCTCTACGGAATGTTAGGTGTAGTGAAATACTTGAAGTGAAGTTGGATTTTATTCTTGAACTGTTAGGGGCTTCCTAGTTCATACGGCCTTGCGGCTTCCATTGGCAACAAATAATGCAAATGACATAGCAAAGGGACATTTCCAAAAAGCAAAAATACTGTAAATTGGCTGTTATGTATATATTGACGTTTACATATTGTTAATCAACGTATCTTATTAACGATTAGGTGATCTAGTTTAAAAGGAATATGACCTTTCTGTCATGACAGTAGCTGCTTAAATAGTATTTTCTCTTTGTACCATATTTTACAGCCAAAATGTCGTGTTATTTTCAACAATGTTACCAACCCAGTGCGCCAAAGTCCGTAATATAGGCAGGTGCAAATAATTTGTCAAGATGGGTACCATTTTAGGCAAGGTTTCTATGTTTGGATTTTATTAGACACAATAAGAGCAGATATTTCTCATAAACATTTGATATGTGTAGAATAATATGATAAAATGTAGGCAAAAGTGGTGAATAAGAAAGACACCAACCCGTACAATAGATATAAGATAGTTCAATAAGAGATAATTTAAGAATTGCTGTGATAAAAGGATTTTCCACTGATTTCGTAATGGAACTTTATATTGCAAAACATGACATGATAAAGACGAAAATCAATTTTAAAATCAGAAAATAACATTGCAAATACTTATTTGGTAGAATTCAGTACTGTGGCTCCCAATAAATGTGTGTTGTTTGAAATACAATTTAAAAATGAACAGCTGTTTTATTAAAAAGTATTATTCACATGGCCAAAATGTAAACAACTCTGTGGATGGATCTTTAAAGGCTTCTGGGGCAGAGTCCTAAGGGATTTTGCATAGTTTTTCTTTTGATAACTCATCTACAGACAAAGACCTTTCTTTGGACACCACTACCAAGTTTCTACGCCCAGCCGTTCTCTCAAATTAGTGGGTTCAAAGTTTCCAATTAAATATTTAGATTCCCCCATGTTAATCTTATGGGAGAAACTCCAACTTTGATGACCTGTGGGGCAAAGGGTTTTTATTACAGGAATTGGTAAAAGATATACACAAAAAATACTTTATTTTGACACGTCGTTTGTAAAAATCCGTCCATTATTAACGGAGGAGTAGTGTTTTGTAGAAATCGCCTTCACGTATTATATATATGGATGTTTAAATTTAACATCATGTGATTTTGTCTATGGTCAAAGACAATAACTATATGTTTAGTATTTATTTTAATCATGTTGTTTATTGTTTTAGTTATCCTAGCAACCTAGGTAACAACAGTTTTATTACAGTGGAATAACAGTGGATTACACTAAATTAATTCTTTGTAAATTAAATAACCTTTTACTGGAATGATTTGTTTTAGTGCGTCCATCCGCTAGAAACAATTCAAGTTTATTTAACTGTAATGTAAATTTTAAGTATATTTTCCATTTTTGTTCGTATTGTTATCAATATGAGACTTTCAGTGTTAACACATTGATGGTAGAATGTTTTTTATTTTTGGGTTATGACCTTTTTATGTCTTTTATAATATATGTATTTAAAAAAACTATATGTTTATTAAATTTTTAACCTAAATAAAAGAAAAAAAATGTGTGACTTCTCTCCAATAATCTAAATGAAGCACATCTATGGGATTCAAGCTCGACCTCAACGCTACACTAGTCAGAGCAACGGCTAAGCCAACTGACCATCATCAACCAACATCATTCCAACCTGGCATGAGTCGTTTGCCACTACAAACACACGACAACACTAGCGCTCGCAGGTAGATTTGACGTTCCTAAATGAAGACAAGTTATTAGAATTAGGAAATAATCACCGCTGTGAGTCGTGCTGCTAGGGGTGCCTCTGCACTCGCTTAAAGCAGCTGATCTGGCACTGGCTGTGTGGTGACTAGACAGTCCTAGGGTAGGAGAGTGGGCCTTGGGCGGAGGAGACAGTCAGCACCGCCCTTAGAGTGGAGCGGCAGCTCCAGGCCTCGCACCGGGGAAGGCCTCGCTATACTACTATCGCACCGCTATTACTAGGTATCGCTAATAATAAGTTAAAGATTTGGAATGAAAATAATCAAATAAAGGACAGACGGATACATGTGCCTAAAATATGTCTGATTTATTATGAATTATGGCGCAATTAATGCTATTTCAATTATTGTATTGATTTTTATAAAAACCTACGAACGACATTTAAAACACATCGTTTGACAGCGTCGCCGGCGGGATGACGGAACCCGAGCCACCCCGGTGAGTGTGAGCGAGTCGTTCTTATACGATAATTTATTTTATTTATTTATTAAAATACATCACATAACGCCTAAGGAGTGCTTCTGCACGCAGGCAGGTAAATTGTCAAAATATACATTGTGTACTAGTATAGAATAAAAGCAACATAATAATAAATATAGTAATAAACATAATAAGAATAAAGTATTAACAGTATTGAACAGTATTGAAAAACAAGTATAAAATAAGTTAGGTTATTAGCAAAGTTTACAAGTTATATCAATGTCAATAAGTTATGTTTACTACAATCAGACTGATATAAAATCCTCAATTCTGTAAAAACAATTGTCTAACAGGTAAGACAGTAAGTGTAACCGGAACTTTTTAAATGATTCTACCTCTCTCAGTGATAAAGGAAGCTTATTATACAGTTTGAGACCCATATAAAAAGTACTCTTTTCATAAGCAGCAGATTTATATATGTGGTACTGCAACACAGAGTTCATGGGCCTAAAGCTGTATTGGGAGTTAGATCTTTTTAGCGAATTTCCCTATAGGGAAGTAGCTATTACCGTAGGTGGCACGGTAAGACCTAGACCCGGGACCGATTTACTTTTTCATTTTGATGTCCCCAGAGGCCAAAAACCCCATTCGTTCAAATTTTTATATTAGTCCAGGACCTGACCAGGGTTCTGTGTGCATGTCGTGTATAGTGAATTTTACTTTTGCATTTCAATATAGGTGTCTTAGGAAGTGTTTTCCACTCGGGTGTCAAGTTCGCACCTGGTACGTTTTCGAGCTATGACGTCATCAAAATGGCGGCCATTGATTTTTTTAAATTGTATATTTCGCAAACTATTTGTCGGATCGGAATGAATGTTTTTTTGTTTGAAAGATAATTTTAAATGCTAACTGTTTTACATTTACACATTTGTTGTATGTTTAGTACATTCTTTGTAATTTTGCAAAAACCTGTATTTTTAAATATTTTTGAGTTATTTTTGTTTGTAACGTTTTATTGATACAATTTATAAAAAACCACCAATGAAAAAAGTTGTAGAACATTTAAAAATCTTTACAAAAATACCAAATTCGATATGTTTTACTCAAAAGATCACGTCAAGAAACTAGAAAATCGTACAAAACAACCTAATTTTGCGCAAAAACGCATATAAATCCGACATCGATGGCTGTGTTCGAGTCATATATAGACAGTTTTACCATTCAATGTTGATGTATGTGTCTAAAGAAGTGTTTTTAACTCGGGTGTCACGTCTGGACCCACTGCAGTTTCCGGTTATGATGTCTTAAAAATTGCTACATGTTACGATTTCACCAGCTATTTTACTTAAAATAAGACCATTACCCTCTTTTATGCAAATAAAAGCACAACAAATCAATGTAATTAGTCCATAGGAATGTTTCCACTATATAAATACCCCCGGTGCAGCAATCCTTTCGACTAAGCGAATTTCCATTTGCATGGATTGAGATTTATATGCGTTTTTGCGCAAAATTAGGTTGTTTTGTACGATTTTCTAGTTTCTTGACGTGATCTTTTGAGTAAAGCATATCGAATTTGGTATTTTTGTAAAGCTCTTTTAACGTGCTACAACTTTGTTTTTAAGTTATTTCTGATATATTGTATCAATAAAACGTTATCGACAAAAATAACACAAAAATGTTTAAAAATATAGGTTTTTGCAAAATTACGAAAAATGTACTAAACATAAAACAAAAGTGCAAATGTAAGAAAGATAGCATGTAAACTTATCTTTCAAACAAAAAAAAGTTCATTCCGATCCAATACATGGTATGTAAAATATCGTTATTTTTAATATAGCCCTTTCCGCCATTTTAATGACGTCATAACCGGAAACTGCAGTGGGTGCAGACGTGACACCCGAGTTGAAAACCCTTATTTAGACACGTACATCAACATTGAATGGCGAAACTGTTTTTATAAGACTTGCGAACTGCCCTAGAGGCCGGACTAATAGGCGTTTTTGCGCCAAAATTGGTGTTTTTATGAGATTTATCTAGTTTCTTGACGTAATCTTTTGAGTAAAACATATCGAATTTGGTATTTTTGTAAAGATTTTTAAATGTTCTACAACTTTTTTCATTGGTGGTTTTTGATAAATTGTATCAATAAAACGTTACAAACAAAAACAACTCAAAAATATTTAAAAATACAGGTTTTTGCAAAATTACGAAGAATGTACTAAACGTACAACAAATGTGTAAATGTAAAACAGTTAGCATTTAAAATTATCTTTCAAACAAAAAAACATTCATTCCGATCCGACAAATAGTTTGCGAAATATACAATTTAAAAAAATCAATGGCCGCCATTTTGATGACGTCATAGCTCGAAAACGTACCAGGTGCGAACTTGACACCTGAGTGGAAAACACTTCCTAAGACACCTATATTGAAATGCAAAAGCAAAATTCTCTATACACGACATGCACACAGAATTCTAGTCATGTCCAGGACTAAATCTTTCCCGGAACGTACACCACTTTCAGTGTTCGTTTACGATTTATTCAATCTCTTTGCTTTATCTTTAGGTCTAATCACATATTGTTTGGTATCATTGGAAAGGGTATAGAATCATCTGCAACTTTTGCAATGGGTGGTATTTGATTTTATCAGCGGTTAAGAAGTTATAAGCAAAACAATAAATATAATAATAATAATAAACACGTTTTTTAATATAGTGAGATAAATATTAAGTTTACAACAAAAGTGTAAATACAAGAAAGATAGGGTGTAAAAATATCTTTCAAACAAAAAATAAATCATCCTGATCCATTAAACGGTTCGCGAAATATACGCATTCAAAAATTGCTGAGCCGCCATCTTGATGACGTCATAGCTCGAAAACGTACCAGGTGCGAACTTGACACCCGAGTGGAAAACACTTCCTAAGACACCTATATTTAAATGCAAAAGTAAAATTCACTATACACGACATGCACACAGAACCCTAGTCAGGTCCTGGACTATATATGTATTAGCGAATTTCCCTATAGGGAAGTAGCTATTACTGTAGGTGGCACAGTAAGACCTAGACCCGGGACCGATTTACTTTTTCATTTTGATGTCCCCAGAGGCCAAAAACACCATTCGTTCAAATTTTTATATATGTATATAAAGTTATATACATATATAAGTGTATAGTGTTTTATATATAGACTTATATATATATATATATATATATATATACGTCCGTGAACTTGAGTAATTTTTGTCCGATTTTGATGAAATTTGGTTCAAAGGTTTAAAGCGGGATAAACTTGAATGAGTTCGCGAACCATCACGATCGGACCATGGAACGGGGCTTTACGGGGGGTTTTATGGGGTAAAAATTGGTTTTTCTCACTTTTGACCCTCAAAACACAAAATTTCCCGATTTCTCTTTAGACCTTTTTTTAAGAGCTTAAAAAAACGAATGATTTAGTTTATAAAAGTATTTTTTTTTTCGATTATTAGTAACGAAGAAAATTTAAAAAATTGTAAATTTAAAATTCCCATGTTATTCTTATGGAGAATATTGTCAAATGTTGTAGTTTGCTTGTTTATGGATATATTTTGATCAAACTTGGCAAAAGAAAATATATTTATTGAAATACCATAAAATACACAGTTTTGCACTTTTCAAGTTTGCCACCATTTTGGAAAATGACCGCCATTTTTGAAATAATAGAATTAATATTTTTAACAAATTTTATGATCTTGACTTATTTACTCTTCGCATTTTCGCTATAAACCTACTTGTTTAGGAACTACATGATGTAAAATGTACACCGGAAGTCATTTTTCCATAGGCTGTAACTCCCAAACGAGTAGGTTTATCGAAAAAATGTCAAGGATAAAAAAGTTTTTAAATTGCATGTTCTATCCGAAAACATGATAAAATATAGGGTGTTCCATAAGAAATTTCAAAGTTGACCGCCATATTGGAAAATGGCGGCCATTTACAAAAATTTTATTTAATTATTTTTGAACCTCTTTAAAAACAAGGGAATGTTCCCCATTTAAAGTTTGCTGTAAAATCATTAGTTACTGAGATCCCAATGGTGGCACACTTAAAAAAAACACCCTGTAGATGTGGAAGTTTGTGTGTTTGTTTGTTTGTGTGTTTGAAGTTCAATCACGCATAAACCACTGGACAGATTGGGCTGAAATTTGGCATGATGATAGCTTACATTCCCGATTAACATATAGGGCCTAGGCATATTCTTATCTCAAAAATCCTTTCAGGCTCCGCCCCAGTGGCTCTGTAATTCCCCATGTTAACCTTATGAGTATTCATTATTTAAAGGGAATTAAAGAATTTAGTCAGCTGTTTCAACTAAAAAAGTTGGTTCTATGATATGGAAAAGCATTAAAAAGTTATAAGATTTACCAACAGGGTGCAGCACTATATTTTTTTGCATTTATGAAAACAGCTAATTTGAACTAAGCAGCAACAAAAAACTGTGATTCACATTGAGAACTGTCAAAGTAGGATTGTTTACAGTTTTGTTTATGTTTTTCATTTCATGAATAATTTGTGATATTTAGCGAATTGTTGATAATTTATTTGTCTCTATTGTTTAGGTGAAGTGGTAGAACATTATGGCTATGGTAGATGTGTAATACTATAGAATACTGTAAATTTAAAAAAGCAAATTTTATCAAACTGTGTCCACCCTTATTGCAAACGCAAAGCTTGAGTATAACTGCAATAAGCATTTTATACTTATATTCCAACCCCGTACAAAGGGGGGCGATATGTTGGATAAAACAATTCCTTATTATATTTTCAAACAAAACCTAGCCCAAGTAATATTTTCCTCTATTCAGCCGCTCTTCGGTATGCGGCCTTTGCCCTCAATGCTGATATCCTTCCAAACGACACAGTCTACTGTCGTCCGCCGCTGAATGATCACCATATTTCTATTGTCTATCCGCATCATCTTTTCATCATCCCGCAACTTAATTCACTCTTCAATTTACAACTTTTAAATTAATCAGTCTGTACATTGCTAGTAGAAGTGACAATGCTTCAAGTCAGGTGGGGTACCCCAAACCAAACATCTCTTCAGCTGCACTAAGGTCTGTGACAGTAATTCAACATTGTTTTGCACTTTTTAACAAGTAGCCTAATAAGACTGATTAATTTCATCCTAAGTTTAATCTATTCTTCATATTTTACCAAACAGTCTGAGAACATTATACAGGCGCTGTCTTAACTGTTAAGTTGGTGGGAAATGAATTGATATATGTTAAGAAAAGCAGGGGCCAAACAAAATCATTTAGTCAAACAAGATATCAACTTTTTTGCTCCTCAAAATGCTCATTATGATCACCTCACTAGATTTAGATGTACCTTGTTAATCCATATGTAGGCTAAGGCTTGCAAAAACCCGACATTGTCATGTTTAGGTACCATTAACTTGCTCTTTATAATAAACTCTCAATAGCTATTATAAATTTGCCACTCAATAGATTTAAGAAAACTGTAACTCTTTTTCTAAAGGACCAATTCCTCCTACTCTGTAGCGGACTACATGGATGATCATCTTATATCATGACCTGTTAATCTGATGTAACATATCTTATCTAAATCTTTGTCGCTGTTCTTTACTTGTAAGTTATGTTGCACGATAGGCAAATGCCTAGGGGCGCAAACAGAAAAATAAAAATAAAATTGTCGTAAAAATAGTTTGAAAAGGCTTAAAAACCAAACAAATTTAAAACCAGTTTCTTAAAATTTCCCAGGGGAGAACCCCCAGTATATCTTGCCAACCTAGTGCTTTATGAGTTAACCCAACCAAACATAACCGTTGCAGCGCGCTGTATACCTAATCGGCGGAGTATAGCGGCGCGGCGGCGATGTAACTTATTCAACTCAATACTCCTGACATCGCTGCCTTCTGGGAGGCAGAACTCAAAGGCCGCTAATCGTAGGCTAATCATGTCAAATTTAGACAGTAAGTCAATTAATGTATGTTCTTTCCAATTATGGTAGTTATTTTTGATCTCAGATAAAAAAAGTTTTCTAAGCCTCTGGATAGCCTAAGTTAATACCAAAGTAGGCCTACCTAAAACCCATTTAGGCCTAGTCATTAATTGCAGTTTCGGGGCTACCAATATGAATTTCAATAAGATATCAGTGTTGTGATTTGGGAAATAATTTTGTGTAGGCCTAACTTAGGCCTATCTATTGCAGATAGCTTGTTTTTCTCAGGTAATACTTAGTTTACCTACCGGTACTTAAAAAATTGAACTCTGACACCATTAAATGTACAACAAAACCTTGTATATATTTACCTCTAAAATTATTTTGTGCATGTTATCCAAGTTCTGTAGGTAAAGTTGGGTTGCTGGGTCATCGTAGAACTTGTGAATAACAGCTGTGGCTGCATGACACGCTTGGGCAATCACAGCTCCTACTGGCCAATTTGACGATTTAATCAGGTCACCACGTACTAGGATGTACTGAACTACTGCTGCCATCTTGAAAAGGTTAGGATGAATTTTAGGTTTGAGGACTAAGTTAATTTGATGAATATGCCTATTTTAGCTCAACAAGTTCTTTTAGGCATATCTGTAAACCCAAAATATGGAAAATTATATTGACCTATTAGGTAACTTAGGCATACAGTAAGCCTAGAGAGGAATTTTTCCATCCTCCAGCAAGTAGATAACTTACAGCTAATTATGCCTACGATTGAAAAAAAATTATATTTACAAGGCATTATTGGTAATATGGATCGCGGATGTATTTTGCCGCAAAACGGCCAGCAATAGATTTTAGTGGGCGCGCGCACAACTTATTGCTGATTTTACCCCCCTTATTCTACTCCCCAGGTACATAATGTTGATACTGTCGTGTCCGTTAAAGTGTCCTCTATCTGTTGGCATTATTGGTAATATGGATCGCGGACGTATTTTGCCGCAAAACGGCCGGCAATAGATTTTAGCGGGCGCGCGCACAACTCATTGCTGATTTTATCCCCCTTATTCTACTCCCCAGGTACATAATGTTGATACTGTCGTGTCCGTTAAAGTGTCCTCTATCTGTTCGCATCATCGGTAATATGGATCGCGGACGAATTTTGCCGCAAACCGGCCAGCAATTGGTTTTTTCGGGCGCGCGCACTACTTATGGCTGGAGTTATTGCCAGGTTCACGCCAATTTTATATAGGCTATTAAGGACTTTGACTTTGAGGCTAATTTGATTTTGAAGGTCTATTGTAATCAATGATTATTTAATGACCAATAAATTACTTGGTTACTTGATTATATATTATGTTTAGCATAGTTTTGACGTTGGTTACCTATTGTATTTTATTACTGAATGGCATTATAAATCTCTTGAATGCAGAGAAAACAAAAATTATCCTTAGATTGAACCTTCCTTAAGGGGGCAATGTACCCAAAAATTAGAATAAAAAAAAATATATTTTATTTATTTTTTTGTTTCTTAAACAATTTAGGAAGAAGTATCAAGCATTGGTTTTGGTTTTTTAATATTCAAAACGTGTTTTTTGGATTAGATTTCATAAGCGCGCACAGCTGGCTTTTCTGCTTCAGCCGCCTATTTTGGAAGCAATGTAACCAAAAAAACTTCATTAAAAATTTTTTTTCTATTTTTCTTTTCTCAAACTATTTAAGAACTAGTATCAAGCATTAGTTTTGTATTTTTAATATTGAAAATATGTTTTTAGACTTAATACCATAAGCACCCACAGCTGGTTTTTCTGCTTCAGGCGCCTATTGGAAGCAAAGTGTTTTTGTTATTTCCCGCATATTTCTTTTTTAGTGTTTTCCTTCATGTTTGACAGCATAACTTTTTTATTTTTTTAGCTAGAGAAGTCAAATTTTGTACATATGTTCTTCAATATATTGACTAGAGTCTAAACCTTCGCTAAATCATCACGATGTTGTCCCCTGGCACTGCGGAGTGGGGGAAGCAAAGCATTCTATTGGCTGAGGGAACACCATTACCACAACGATACGATTAGTAGCCACCGGCCTCGGTGGTCTAATGGATAACGTGCCGGGCTGAGGATCTGAAGGTACCAGGTTCGAATCCTCTCGGTAGCACTAACTTTTTGTCTAAGATTTTTGCATTATCAGCAAGTTTGGTTAGTTTGGTTAGGTTATGACAGTTTAATTTGTTAATTAAAACATTATAAAATTCAATTTGAGCTATTATAATTTTAGAACTATTTTTTCTATTAGTAAACCTTGTTCGATTTTTCATTATCAGCAAGTTTGGTTGGTTTGGTTAGGTTATGACAGTTTTTATAATTAATAAATTCTAAAATTGAATTCAAGGCATTTATAATTGTATTTTATGAACAGAACTATTTTTTCGATTAGTAAACCTTCATCTATTACTTATTTAATACGCAAGCAGGATTTTTGTGACAATTACTCCTCCGAAACTACTGAACCGATTGACATGTTTTTGGTGTCATCGGAAAGAGCGTAACGTAAAGTTGTGCAGGAAACTTTCTTTTTAGGGAAATAATTAGAGAGTGAGGCCCTAGGGCCCTTTAAAGTTTCGTATTTCTCCATAAGATTAACATGGGAAACAAACATTGTTATGAAACTCCAGCTGTTGTCAGAAATGCTGTTCTACTACGGTATTTAATTTAATTTGTTTACAAGGAAAATAATTGTTTCTTGGTGACATGTGGTCAATGAATTATACTTTTGCATATATTTTAAATGCAATACACTATATAAAATGATAGTGATACATTAAGAGATCTTCATTTAAATAATCAATAAGAACGATTGAGCCTATATGTTTCCTGGTAAGTGTGTTTCTTATAGTATCTTATTGTGAAACCGAATTATTCTTTTCTTCATTCTCATCCCGTAGCAAAGCACGGGCAGAGCAACTAGTTCTATTATTATTTTATATATTTTTTTATATAATCAGCATATTTGGTTGGTTAGGTTAGTTTATGACAGTTTAATTTTATAAATATTCATTTTTTACTTATTGAAAAACTGCAGCATAGGTATATGATATGCATGTAAAACAACGCGGGCTTGTTTGGACGCCGTCTAGAGGGGAGGTGGAGGGAGAATCATTTCCCCCACTCCGCAGCGCCAGGGGACAACATCAAGATGATTTAGCGAAGGTTTAGACTCCAGTAATATATTGTGCACAAACAGTAGCATGGAAATTAACATATTGTTAACCATATTCCTTACATATTTTTTTTTTATAAAAAAATAAACGGAATTTCGTCAAAAAGTTAAAATAAAATGTCCCATATCTATTTTAAAAGCATATCAAAAGCCATGCTACAGTTTGTAAGGCTATTTATTAGCTTTAAAACAAAGTTTAAAAAATTGGTATACGTGCCATACAAAAGGAGTTATGCTGTAAAACGTAAACGTATGTTTTTTTATCCCCCCCCTTCACCCGAAAGAGAAAGGGGGGGGGGGGGCTCATACCATATTTTCTTTTTATTTTTACACTAGGATACATTTTAATCAATAAACAAAAATTTTTAGGCCATTTATAAAGAAAAAGTATTTTTGGGTGCATTGCCCCCTTACGTTATAGGGTAGGCCTACATTCAAGTAGTCCCGTCCTTCCCCCTGATGTTAGGGCCTTTAGACAAAGAATAAAGTTAACTTAAGTTAAGCAAGGCTATTTCTTTACCGGTACTGTACCATTATAATTGAATGACTAATGATAACTTAATAGCCAGACATACAGCCAGAGCCATACACCTACCGTTAAAAACTTATCAAATTTTAATAGTGTGACTGATTTCCGTAAATTAGTTAAAGAAAATCTTTGTACCTTTCTTACGATATTAATGTGTTTTGGTTTGGTTGACTCGTTGTCCGTTGACTGTTGAGATGCAGATGCAGATGAGGTTAGGTTAAGCTGTTTCGTCTGAGGACTCTGAGGAATCCTCGGTTCATCCCTCTCGCTCCCCTCGGCGCTCGGCCCTCTCTAAAAAGTAGGGGGCTCACTGCTCAGCTCTCAGCTGATCCGGAACGTTTGCTGTAAACCATAAGGTCGATTCACACACATCAGTCCAGTCACAGTTCCGTTACAGTCCAGTCACAGTTGCATCCGCAATTTCTCAGTCAATTGTACGTCAGTTGGTTTCAGTCAGCCTTCCGTCTCTAAAATTCACAGTAATTTATAGTCCAAATTTTAAATTTATAAACCTATATTCTATCAAATTATCATCGTCCATCTTGTTGATTGTTACAAACAGTACTCAAAATACAAACGCAACCATTTAAATAACAATAACACTATTTTCTAACCTCAAACAGTTCCGTCAGGCGTCCGAACAATCAAAAAGTATCGTTGGAAAGAAATCTGAAATTGACTGACGGATGCCGGTAGAGCGACTGACGGGACTGCAACGGATAAGTGTAGATAGCGCAATAGAAAATCCATTAAAGAATATTTTTGTTAACTGTGACGTGCCTGAAGTGACTTTACTGTGACGTGCCGTAACTGATGTGTGTGAATCGACCTTTATCAAATTCACGCTCGAAGTCGAAAATAATAATTCAATTAACTTCCTCCCAGACAGCACACTTTCTCCTCAGGACATCCCACGGATATTGAGACAGGATATGCAAGATATCCCATAGTGGTTCTATGGTCAACCCGGGATATCCCAGGATATCCACAGGAATGCGTAATGTCCCCGCCCGGGGATGTCCTACGGATAAGCTTACAGCATATCCGTGGGACATCCGAGGTCATCCCAGGGTTATCCTCAGGACATTCTCAGGACATATGGGACTACTATGGGATGTCCCTGGGATAAAGTTTGGTCAGGGCCTGAACATAAAAAACACAAAATAGTATAGATTTAGTATGAAAATCTTAATTATAAGTTTAGTAAATTGATTATATAGTTAATATACACAAATTTTGAAGAAAAAAACAAGAAAAAAGTTTTTGGCCCAGACGGGTCTCGAACCTGGTACCTTCGCCTTATGCGCCTCTTACCTTACCTCCTGAGCTATCTGCGCTTGATGATTATGGGTCTTTTCAAGTGGTGAAAGAGAAGCCGACAGTTGCAATGGTCGCAATACTTAAAATATTGTTGATACTGCAGTATATAAAATGATTCTGTTAATATGTTTAGGCCTCAAGTAGTTGAATTGTTTTTCTGGTAGTTGGAGAGGATACTGGTATTTGAATGTAGATTATTTAATTACCATTAGATTAGAACTGTTATAATTGATTGTTATATGATTAAAATTAGTTTTTGATTGTTTTATTAATTTAAAGTTAGAATTAAATTCACATTTCACACAACTATGATAGAACTCTAGTTTTCCTGAACTCAGTGGTAGTAATATGTCAGTAACGTTAAGTCAGCCCTTGCTAGCCATAGTATTAACAAGACATATTTTCAATCTGGGAAACCTTAAACTTTTAAAACAAATTATAAAACCTCAACATCTTAATGCGTGGGAATCTTATTTTTAGAAAAAAAAAACAGACCAAAAATATTTGTTAAATAAGGAAGACGGCCCAATTATAAATTCGGAATTACTGAAAATAATTACATCAAGAACAACACTGTAATATATCCAAAATTCAAAAGATTAATTTTTCTAATATTATTTTTTATTTTTCCAATATCCTTTAAATCATCTGTTTTAACTTTGATAAAAATTAATTTATTAAGTAAATATTTACTTCTTGTACTAGTGTAAACACAGTCTGAAGATAGAAACCAAGTTTCTGAAAGCGCTAGTGAAAAAAAAACAAATTATTATATATTGGCCTTGTTGAACATTTAAATTTAGATATACATTTCATCAGTGGTAGTATTTTTTTTCTTCAGTTTGTTACCGGGACATTACAGGATATCCAGTGGATTTTGTAAATGTCTCGGGATGTCATGGGACATTCTGGGATATCCTATGGCATTCGTACATATCCCGGGACTTTACAGGATATCCTGAGGTTAACTTACAAATCCCAGGGCATTACGGTATATTGTAGGATATCCTGTGGATTTCGTACTTGTCCCGGGATTTTGCAGGATATCCTGAGGATAGCGTACATATCCCGAGACTTTCTCAGGACATAGGGGACTACTATGGGATGTCCCTGGGATAAAGTGTGCTGTCTGGGCTAGATCTCACAATGACCAAAAATAACAACAATATTGCCTACAAAATTTATAGAAAGCCTACAACAACAGACCATACCATCCACGCATCATCTAATCATCCACAATCCCATAAGATGGCTGCTTACAATAGTTTTGTTAACAGGCTTCTAAAAATACCCATGACCCAAGCAGAATACAATGACGAATGGAATATCCTATACTCTAATACGATCAATGTTTGCTTGTATGTATGCTTGCTTGCTTGCTTGCAGAAAGATCTCGAAAACGGCTCCGACGATTTTCTTCAAATCTTGTAAATAGTTTATTTTTGGCCTAAAAACAAGTTTCATGCAGTTAGAACTGCCAACAAAAATCTAATTACGTAGAAAAACGAAACTGAAAGTCACATTTTTTTAACATTAGTCTTATGGGTTGCTAAGTCACCATGTTGGTTGAATTAAATAACAAGGAAAAGGTAAACAAAAGACTTGAAGTTGTAGCACGTGTTCATAATAAACCAACTACCCACAGTATACTAGCAAATTACAAAAACAGTACAAAAGGAAAAACATCACTTGTTAATATATTGAGCAAAGATTATACTTAAGATTACTCGAGACATTGTAGTCAAGGGTAGCAGTGCGAAGTCTAGGATCTGTTTATGACGAATACATTAAGGTATCTGCAATCCTAAAATGCTATGGGAAGGGAAGGAAACAGGTCCGTGACGTAGGAAGTAGTGAAGGAAGTAGTAAAGGCAATCATAAAATGCTATGGGAATAGAGGGAAACAGGTCCGTGACGTAGGAAGTGATGAAGGAAGTAGTAAATGCGAGCAGTCCGGAGTGTGGGGACTGTTTATGACGATAAGATTAGGGTATCTGCAATCCTAAAATACTATGGGAAGGGAGGGAAACAGGTCCGTGACGTAGGAAGTGGTGAAGGAAGTAGTCAAGGCGAGCTGTCCGGAGTGTGGGAACTGTTTATGACGATTAGATAAGGGTATGGGCTATCCTAAAATGCTATGGGAAGGGAGGGAAACAGGTCCACGGCGTAGGAAGTGGTGACGGAAGTAGTCAAGGCGAGTTGTCCGGAGTGTGGGAACTGTTTATGACAATTAGATTAAGGTATCTGCAATCTTTAAATGCAATGGGAAGGGAGGGAAACAGGTCCGCGACGTAGGATGTGGTGAAGGAAGTAGTCAAGGCGAGCTGTCCGGAGTGTGGGAACTGTTTATGACGATTAGATTAATGTATCTGCAATCTTTAAATGCAATGGGAAGGGAGGGAAACATGTTTGCGACGTAGGAAGTGGTGAAGGAAGTAGTAAAGGCGATTAGTATGGAGTGTGGGAACTGTTTATGACGATTAGATTAACGTATCTGCAATTCTGAAATGCTATGGGAAGGGAGAAAAACAGGTCCGCTACGTTGGAAGTGGTGAAGGAAGTAGTCAAGGTGAGCTGTCCGGAGTGTGGGAACTGTTAATAACGATTAGATTAAGGTATCTACAATCTTAAAGTGCTATGGGAATGGAGGGAAACAGGTCCATGACGTAGGAAATGGTGTAGGACGTTGTAAAGGCGAGCCGTGTGGAGTTTGGGAACAGATTTATGTATCTCCGATACTAAGACTGCTTTCAGAGTGAACTAATGATTTTCTCCGAGCAAAGCTCGGTCCCCAGGTACTACATTATTAAAGTGCATAGCCGTCAACAATGGTTATAACAGAAACATTATCGATAATATCATCCGTAAACAAAAAAAACAGAAAGCAAACTGAAAAACCCGTTCAAAATTTATATCCATAGAATATGGTAGCAATCTACACTACACACTGAAAAACGAATTGAAGAAACATAACGTAACTTTAGCTTGCAAAACTTAATGAATAAATTAGAAAGCCTCCTAAATCCACGTACTACCGAAATAACTCATTCAAACAGCCTTGAGGACACTGGAGTATATAAACTATCTTGCAGTGACTGTCCTAAAATATATATAGGACAAACAGGTCGTTCGTTCAAGAAAAGGTTTAACGAACACCTTCCTAAACCTAAATCGAGAACCCAACACTCCAAGTTCACCGAACACCTGATTAACGAAAACCACAATGTTAATAGCTGCAATGATAGCCTAAATATTCTACACAAATGCACCAAAGGCTCCTTAATGAATGTTCTAGAAAGCTTAGAAATCTACAAAGCCACAAAAAAACATCCTCACGACATTTTAAATGAAAAACTAAATTTTGGCCGTAACATAATATTTGATAGGATTGAGGACATTGATAACGGAAGCGCTCACAATCAGCTGTTTCACCCCCTCCAAGGTCAATGTCGTCAACAGAACAGACAGGAGTCGGTTAGTTGCATCGTGTCCGTCACCGTGGTACTTATGATGGCCGGCCGCGCATTCATTTTTGTAAATAGTTTGTGTCCGTGTTCGTGTGTATATGTTAAATGTACTATGTATAATGACGACGACAAGATGTCACAATATTTTTAAGAGGGAAACTAGTCGCCATAGACTAATTTTAGGATTGACGACGTAAGGTAAGTAACCTATTTATATTGTTATTTGTTAGTTTACAAACATTTGTTATTGAACATAAATGTGCACAATCAATGTTTCATGTTGATTTGTTCTAGTTTTGTTATTGTACCTAATTATGTATTAAAGATAGGATTCTCTAAAGGTTCAAGGGATTCTTTAGGATGGTAGAGATAGGTGATCTTCTTTGCCAGGGGCCCATCAGGCATACCTATAACTACCCAGAAGAGGGGAGGAGGGCCACGGATTAAGAAACCCAAGAGTGGACAACATAAATGTGATTCTAATAGTGTTTGTGTTTCTTTGTTCTTTTAGATTGTTTTTCCTATATCCTTCAAGTAATTGTTCATTTCCTTGTAAATATGATCATTTACAGATTTCAGGGCTTCTTGTAGGTTGTTTCTATATACTTTCTATATGTTTCTTTAAGATGTTTTTTTTTTTTTGTTATACAAGTATACATAAAATAAACACAATAGAACACTTCATACTGTCAAAATAATTTTTTACTCGTTTTTAAATATGCGGATATATCCGCTACCCGTCTGCGGATGAGTAGAAAAGCAGCTGATATATCCGCCACCCGTCTTTGAAGATATGACCATGACAACGTTAGGCCATAAAATAAAGAACAATATGTAAACAATAAATAAAGACAAAGTAGTGTTGAGTGTGAAACGTCGAGGGGGGAGCGTAGGAGTGGTGGGTGGTGTGAGGGGAGTGGGTGAGGAGCGGGAGAGGGTAGGCGCGTAAGAGAGGGGGGAGTGCGGGAGAGAACGCAGCCATGGAGAGAGCAGGAAAGTGGCGCCTTGGTACTGCGAAACATCTGGTTACTGCTAAAGCATGTGCCAGTCTGTCTGAAGAGAAGGCAGATATATCCGCTTCCCCTCCGGAACATCAAAAACCATTAGCGGATATATCCATCACCCATCCTTTATCGCCAAAGACTTAGGCGGATAATCTCGTCACCCCTCCGGGAAGGGTTAATTTCATTTTCTTTTCTTACCCCTTAGTTGTAGCACTAATACAAGAAAAGGACTGTTAGGGGAGAGCGGGGCTAAACCGTACACCCATTTTTTATTGCCTAGAATTCAAGCTAGGTGATCCCGACAAGTGCTGCTATCTAGAATGCGCAAGTTTACAGTATCTGCATCGTTTTGCTATGTGTGCTAGTTTCAATGTTTCAGTAAAAAAACATGTTTCTACTCACTTGCTTCTAATTTTTGTCCAGGACTAAATAAAAAGTTAGTGAAGTAGCTTTTATCGTAGTCTATTAACTGTGAGATCATAATAAACTACATCTCTTAAGCTCTCTTTTAGTTATTAGCGATGATTGGTTAAGTGATAGAATTTGAGTTTATGTTTATAAATTCCAACGAGGTACAGATTGGGGCTAAACCGTACAGCTCTGGTACAGGGTGCTGCTCATGTTCAGGGTGGGTCCATTCAGCTTGCAGTGCTGCGGAGTCTGTAGAGAACTACATTTGTGGACTTTTTCTTCTTTCCTTTAATTTTGGGATGACATTTTATAACTTTTTTCATAAACTTCATGTTTTTCATGAAGGTTGATTTTTTAAATGTAATTTCTTCCAAAATGTTTAAATTGAAATAGACTATTTATTAGCTACAACCTTTATATAGTAATAAAAAGTGTTTGTACAATAATTTGTTGCAGTACTATTATATTACTAACCTAAACAAATGATTTTTGAACTGTACGGTATAGCCCCTTCTATTGTACGGAATAGCCCCATCCCCCGGGGCTATTTCGTACAATGTAACTTTTTTTAACTACCAATTTTACATGTAAAAAATGCAATATTTCCATAATCTTTATATACAATCAGCAGCCAAATAATCTATAAGTTTAAAAGAGGATGTTTGTATATATATATATATATATATATATATATATATTTGGCAGTGATAAACTCAGACACAGCTGAACCGACTGCCACGAAACTTGGTACATACGTGTAGAATTTCATGGAATAGGTTTATACACCATCAATTTCGTGATCCGTCCAATCGGCTCCGCCCCAGTGGCTCTGGAGTTTCCCATGTTAACCTTATAAGAAATGGAATTAATGAATCTTAACAGCTGTTTCAATTAAACAAGTTGGTTCTGTTCTATGATGTTCAATAGCATTAAAGTTACAAGGATTACCAACAGGGTGCAGCACTATTATTTCTTTTACATTTATGACAACAGCTAATTTGCAACCAAAAGGTGAGTGAGCATAGCGAACGAACTTCAACCTGGAGGCGAGTTAGCGTAGTGAACGAGCTAACCTGAAGGCAAGTGGAAGTGAGCGTAGCGAACGAGCTAACCTGAAGGCAAGTGAGCGCAGCGAACGAGCTCCAACCTAAAGGTGAGTGAGCGTAGCGAACGAGCTCCAACTTAAAGGTGGGTGAGCGTAGCGAACGAACTTCAACCAGGACGTGATTGAGCCATGCGAACGAGATCATCTTGAAAATTAAGAAGTTAAACGGGGCAAAGCCCGCGGGTTACAGCTAGTTAAATTATATATTGCTTGTGTTTACATTCCTTTTACTTCGTAATTTGCAATGTAACTACGAATCTCCCTTGTGTGTACGGTATAGCCCAGCTCTCCCCTACACATCTTTTGAGAAAAACTAATTCTTTCTTCGAACAATGTCTGGTACCATAATATTTTTTTTTTTCAAATCAAATAAATACACTAGTTATATTTCCCACATTGATTATACCTTTCTATCAAAAGTTACCTAAGCACCTCATAAAAAATTCCAATGGTAAATAAAATAGCCCTTAAAACTATTAATTTATTCATACAATTACTGCACATTTGTTGAGTGTGACTTTGAGTAGAGGTAGAGGAGGAAGGATAGACTTCCTTGACCTCAATACTTTCACTCTATACTCCAGCTCAGCTCAGTTGTAATGTTATAATCAGCTGTTTTCTCACATGTTAACTGTGATGTAACATGAAGTTTCTACTGTTACTTTCGTTAATCCCTCTTCTGGGTGAGTTTTAATTTATAAGTTTACAATAATTATTAACCATCTTATCTGTAACATGTCATATAATGTTTCTTGTTCGGCTTTGCCTTATATAGACATATTTAAAAAAATTTTGTTCAGTTTTGAAAGCAGATTATGTAGTACTATTAATAGCAGCTATACCCATACCTTGCAACAGGGTCAGTATTCAAAAGAGACAATGTTGGTTCTTTGAAAATTGGCTTTAAAATGGTTTTACACCTACCATTTAATTTAGAAACGAAATTCAACTGTATTACTTAACTTGATAAAAGTATGTTTTTGTTAGCTTAGACTGTGAACACTTATTTAAGCTACCTTGGATATAAACTCAATGATAGATTTAATCCTAGGACTGGCAATATGTTTAAACAGCTTATAACTCATTTAAAATTATTCCGAAACCGAATAATTTTGATACCATTCGAAAGATGAGATTCCAGACTTCCATTTAAATACATAAACGAACCTTATAGGATTAACAGATCTATTTCATAATCGTTACAACTTTAATGAAAATTTAGGCGCAAGACGATTTTGGGTTTGGCACGTCAATTCATTACTCATGTTCAATAAATCGTAGCGCCGATAATCTTGCATGAAACCGGTTGTGGTTGGTAATAGTAAGATTTGTTCTGAAGTTTGTTTTCGTATCAAGAACCATGTGATTATAATGTCAAACAATATGGGAAATAATATTTAGAAATCAGCTGACATTTAAAACGATGAAAATCGTAATTTTCAATAACTAATAAATCAACAAAGGATTGTGTTAGCGAGATGTACCTACATGTTGAATGGTTTGTACTGTAAACGAAAAGCTATCACAATAGTTCCAAACCTGTCAATAGTGTTTTTTTCTAACATATTTTAGTGAAATTATAATCATGTTTGCTGGGTAGGCCTATATCTTACTACTGTTTACACAAAAATATAATCTAAAAATAATTCTCATAACACTCAGGATAAGAATCTAGGTTGACATGGCAATGATTAAAGAATCTAAATATTATTTCCTATACCACGAATAATTTATTTTACAATTACTTATTCCCTGTAAAATATTATTACATCATTTTACAAATATCAGAACAGACTCAGTATGGATCATAAACATTAACAAATTACGTAACTGAAAAAATCCTATACTGTACTAATGAAATGACATTAACATATGGTTTGACTGTTCCATTTAAGTAATGTTAAATAATGTTTACGTTCAGGCGAGTGACATAATTTTTTTATGTTTATGATCAATGCCCTTTCTGTTCTAATATTCATGCAGTAAATAATAGATTCAAGATTAAAATATCTGTATTCATTTTTTTATATATGCGTACGAGTCGTAACTGTTACCGTTTGTTTGTTTCCATAGAATATTAGGCCAAAATAGAAATTAAAATTCAGTTGAGTTTAATCACTATCCTATACTCTAATACGAGCAATGTTTGCTTGTATGTATGTATGTATGTATGCTTGCTTGCAGAAAGATCTCGAAAACGGCTCCAACGATTTTTTTCAAATGTTGTAAATAGTTTATTTTTGGCCTAAAAACGAGTTTACTGCAGTTAGAACTGCCAACACAATTCTAATTACGTAGAAAAATAAAACCTGAAAGTCACATTTTTTTAACATTAGTCTTATGGGTTGCTAAGTAACCATGTTGGTTGAATTAAATAACAAGGAAAAAGTAAACAAAAGACTTGTAAGTTGTAACACATGTGTTCATAAAGGCACGGTATTTACTCAGGGGAGGTATAGAAGAGGCTACGATGACAGCTGTGGGCTTCTTATTAGCTGAGGGAACGCCATTACCGTAACAAATCGGTCGGTAGCCGTCGGCCTCGGTGGTCTAATGGTTAGCGTACCGGGTTGATATACTGTAGGTCCCGGGTTCGAATCCTGCTTGTAGCATTAACTTTTTGTCCAAGATTTTTTTATTATCAGCAAGTTTGGTTGGTTTGGTTCGGTTATTACAGTTTAATTTTATTATTAAGTCATTATAAAATTTTAATTGAGCAAATTCTAGTTTTATTTAATAAACAGAATTATTTTTCCGATTACTAAACTTTTGTTATATTTTTCTTTATCAGCAAGTTTGGTTAGTTCGGTTAGGTTATGATAGTTTAATTTTATAATAAAAAAATTATAAAATTGAATCTGAGACATTTATAATTTTATTTTATGAACAGAACTATTTTTGCGATTAGTAAACCTTCATTGCCAAAGTGCTCTCTACTACAGCGCTGTTCACGGAGGAATTTTGAACTAAATGCCTCATTCGTACCTCCCCTAAGTCAGACCCATCTACCCACAGTATACTACAATTTACAAAATACAGTACAAAAACAAAAACATCACTTGTTACTATTGAGCAATGATTATACTGAAGCTTTCTCGATACATTGTAGTAAAGGCTAACTTAGCAGTGCGGAGTGTGGGATCTGTTATGACGATTAGATTAAGGTAGGTTTCCCATCCTTATGGAACAGCTGAAGCCAATTTTATTGTTAGTTCTGTCCGGTTTTCTGTAGATGTCGTGCTTTGTTTACAATCTGTTGTTATTTCAGTAATTTAAAACCTCGTTTAACCAAATAATACTATTTAATCATAAACAATAACTCGTTCACTATATTACTATATTACTATCGTTGGCTGTATAACCAAACAGTGAGACACAAATAATGAGAAACTAACCCTAAAATAATAGAAACAAATTGTAAACAAAACACAACATCAACAGAAAACCAAACAGAACTAACAATAAAAGTGGCTTCAGCTGTTCCATAAGGATGGTAAGGTATCTGCAATCCTAAAATGCTATGGGAAGGTAAGGAAACAGGTCCGTGACGTAGGAAGTAGTCAATGCGAGCTATCCTGAGTGCGGGAACTGTAAATGACGATTAGATTAAAGTATCTGCAATCCTAAAATGCTATGGTAAGGGAGGGAAACAGGTCCACGGCGTAGGAAGTGGTGAAGTAAGTAATAAAGGTGAGCGGTCCGGAGTGTGGGACTGTTTGTGACGATTAGATTAAGGTATCTACAATCCTAAATGCTATGGGAAGGGAGGAAAACAGGTCCGAGACGTAGGAAGTGGTGAAGGAAGTAGTCAAGGCGAGCAGTCCGGAGTGTGGGAACTGTTTATGAGGATTAGATTAAGGTATTTGCAATCTTAAAATGCAATGGGAAGGGAGGGAAACAGGTCCACGACGTAGGAAGAGGTGAAGGAAGTAGTAAATGCGAGCAGTGTGGAGTCTGGGAACTGGAAACCAATTGTAACAGTTAGATTTATGTATCTGAAATTTAAATACAGAAATGCTACGAGAAGGGATGGAAACATGTCCATGACGTAGGAAATGGTGAAGGAAGAAGTAAAGGCTGGCATCGCAGAGTGGGGGAATGATTTCCCCCGAGCAAAGCTCGGTCCCCAGGTACTTACTATCTTATACTAGCTGAGTACCTGTCCTTCGTACAGGGTTGACATATAAGTATAAAATGCTTATTGCAGTTATACTCGAGCTTTGCATTTGCAATGGGAGAGGACAGGAGGACGCAGTTTAGTAAAATGTTGTTCTTTAAATTTACGGTATGCTATAGTATAACACATCTACCATATCATTGTTATAATCTAAAGGCTTACCTTACTATCCAATTGAATTATTGTGGAGACCTAGGTTTCTACGCCGGAGCGTTATCGTCAGTCCTAGGCTAAGCTAAACTTTTTGTGTTTCATCTTTTACTTGAGATATTGTCGGTTGAATAGAATTTTTACAAATACAAACACTGAATTATAAATAAATATTTACAAAGACATTGCGTGGAGAACTTAGATGCATGGCCATGATCTTGTCAATCCTAACCTCCAAAGTTGAGACATGATTATCACGTCTCAACTTTGGAGGTTAGGATTCTTAAATTGAATTCTCTGCTCTTAAATTCATTTGATGCCTTCTCAAATACAACTGTCTGTTCTCAACTTCATTTTAGGTTTTCTCAAAAATATTTGACTGATCTCGAATTGATATGTTTTTCTAATATAAACACAACTGCTTCTGAAAATTGGAAAAGGTCAAAAGGTGTAGAGGTCGTCCAGTGGTTGAAAACTCGACCAAAAACATGTAATGTAAATACTTCTCTATTTTCACCCCATACTGTAAATAAAACATGTGATGGGAATTTCTTCAATTTGTTTTGATTTTATGTTTATATTTTCTTGTTATTTCGTTACCAGCATGGCATAAACATTAAGCCCATGTTAATAAAAAAAAAAAATTAAATTCATCTTTTGTACTTATTTTTTAGCATTTTGAAATTTATAAAGGAATTCTGTACATCTACAGAAAAATATCTTTCTAACAATATGCATAGATGTCCCCTGTGACACGAGCCAAGAAAAAAGGTTTTAAATAAACATGCTTGCCTATTAATATAACAGAAGATATAAAATGTGAGTGAGAATGTGTGTGTGTCCGTAAACGCGAGTCATTTTGGTCCAATTTTGATGAAATTTGGCTTGAGAAGGCTTAGGGTGGGATAAAATTGAATTAGTTCACGAACCAGTAAGATCAAGTAATAGAAACAGATTATTCGGAGGTTTTAACATTTTCAAAAATGTTGATTTTTCAAATGTTTCTCTTTAAAATTTAAAATTTCCCAATTTTTTATTACAGCCAAAGTGAATTGCTTAAAGCCCTAAAATATACATTGAATAAATGAAGTGTTGTTGTACAATTAAAAGTAAGGAAGAAAATTCCTAAGAGCTGTACATTTTAATTCCCATGTTATTATAATAGAGAAAAATAAATCTGTTGTAGTTTACTTGTTTATGGATAAATCTTGATGAAACTCAGCAAATTTATTCCGATTTAACGTCCGTCTTAGTCCCAAACAGCCTAGGAAAATCTAAAACGTTACATTTTCAAATTTTAATGCCCTTAAAATATTTTTGAAAATACATATTATTGAGAAAACATTTTTCCCTTAAACGGCTAAAACTAAAAAATGGTAAGAGTTAGCAAAGATTTTAAAGAATTTTCAGAGTCAGAAATTATATTTTATACAAAACACTCATATAACATGTTTTTTCATAATTTTAATCATTTTCCCCCAAAATTTAAGTGTGATGTCAGAATTTGATATATTTTACCACTTTTACAAGGTTATAAACGATTCTTTACCTATTCAATGGGCACAAGGGTATTGAAACTACACAATTTACTATATTACAGCTAACACCATGGTATGAATATAAAATACGCCGTATAAAACTTATTCCCCCCATCCAAAATCGATTCGCCCCTTATGTCCATCCTATAGCCACTATAGGTATTTCGGTCTTAATCACGTTTACCCACTTCTAGATTAGCTGGAGATCTGAAATTTGGCATGTTAATAGGTCTTGCGCCTTTTTCGAAAAGTGAAATTTTACAACATTAAACCTCCCCCCTAAAATATCAAACTACCCCCACCCCCCTTGTTATTCTTATGGAGAATAACCTTGAAAGTGGCTGACTTCGGTATGAGGATCTAAAAAGTTTAGAATCCTGCTAGAGAATTAAACCTTAGTGTACAACGCTACCAATAATTAGCCCTTACAATTTTTAAAAGCTCCATTTTCAAGACTTAACCCTCCCCCCTTCCGAAACTACCTAACCTATTTGCAAGAATATTCATGGTCAGAAATTAAACTTTCTAAAAAACTCTTCTAGGCATTTTTTGACAATCACGCCCCTTCACCCTACCACTAATGACGACTAACAGATAGGGGGCCTGGGGGCAACTATTGCCAAAGGCAACTATTGTTCCTATATAATTGAAAAAAATTAAATTAAATTCAACTATCCACCATCAGACAGCCATAATTATCAGGCACGATTCTCAGAATCTTATACTGAACTTTAAAGAATAATAAAGTTAAGAATCTTGAACTTGACTTTGTTTAAAAAATTAAGCATTTCAAAACTTTATCTACCGTACCTTTAAATTATGTTACTAATTAGTAATTACTAATTATAAATTGGCAACATACAATCAAGTACCATCTACTTAGTTAGATTTATTAAACATTACTGCAAATAACGTACAAATGTCTATCTTACTCGACATTTCTGTCAGCACATCTAGGGTTCATCCCAGTGTCTTTTTATAGGGATATACAAAGCTAAGTTTTAAAATGCATGTTTTTGTACAGTGCATTACTGTGTTCTTTTTTCATGGTTACAAAGCAGAGTTTCCTGATTGTTTGTTTCATTTCAGGGGTCCAGAGCAGAGTTTTGTTTCCTGAGGAATTAGTTTCATTCTTATCCTTTGTATATTCTGTTATTCCTCCAGTCAAAATAGGTATGTTGCAGCAGGTAAACGAGTATAACAATACTTTTAATTAAGGTAATTGTTTGCAGAATATTATTGAAGATTTTTACAAATATAAAATATTAAAGTGAAAATGCCAGTATAGTGAGACAGACCAAGAAAGGCAAAATGTTGATAAGGGTTGACAGAGGACAATTAAAGTACATAATTTATCCATCTAAAAGTTTCTCTGTGCTCTGCCAACAAGCCTAAAACTCTAAGGATCACTCCAAGCAAGTTTACTCTAAAGGGTGAAGGCTGCTTGGTCTATTTGGCCTAGGGCTGCAAATGTCTTAAATCTGACACTTATCACTTTGTCATCCATTAATTGGAGTGATGCAAAGAATCAAGTTTGTAATTATATAGCAAGACTCTTTCTACCCAGGTCAACCAAAACCATGATAAAAGATTAGCTAAGGGAATTGACCACAAAATGTGGGTAGTTGACAACGGCTAGGTGAAGATAAAGTTCAGAAAACAATAGTCATTTATGAAATGGATTTTGTATTTTATACAGTTTTAGATTTTTTCAGATGATACTGTCAGAGACATTATCCTAAGCCAACAATGAGATCCTCATTATAACTAGAATTATGTCCCTTCTGTGAAAATTGAGAGGCATGGTTAATATAGTATCTAAATAATTGCTATTTATAAAAGAACAGTTATTTGTAAGGATAATGTAAAAGTACAAAATTATTAAAATGGGAAAAATTATACGAGGGGTATCTCAGGGTTTGATTTTGTGACTACTCATCTTATTCATCTTTATTGATCATTATACTTTGGGCATTGATAATGATGCAGATTTAAAAATGATATTAATACCAGAGACATTGTTTGAACCTTGTAAAAAAATATAAAAAAAACTCTTTTTCACAAGCTACTCTCGACACTAAAAAGTTCTTATGAGATTCGAGATTCTACTGGTATTTATAGTTTCTTATTTAGTGACAGTCCTACTTGTTATAACAGGCCAACGACTTATATTTACTTTTTCTTTGGGCAAAAAACGTTGTCATCTTCTCTCAAATATTTTAAATGCAGGACCAACATTTTTATTTATTTTATTTTAGGTTAGTAGAGCAATCCAACAACGTCATTTGTTTTGTAGCTGTGCTATGGTTGAAATAAATGTATGTCAGTTAGTAACTATTTATTTACTTAGTGAATAAAATAGTAAATAATAAAACATTTAATAGTAAACAATAGTTCATTTAAACAAAAACCCTTTAAATTCCAACCATTGACAACTGGAACTGAGACAACCTTGCTAAATGTTGGTTTATTAGGGTTAATCAGGAGTCTTACTGTAAACTGTAATTAGTGTTTCTAGCAAAACATTTATTTACTCTTTTACTCTTATTTACTTTTTGCTTCATTGCAAAATATTACAAACGATGTTATTGTTAGGTCAAGACAGCAGAGTCGGAGCTGGTTTCCGAGTGGGGCCAAACGCAGATTTCCAGATCTTGTTGGAGTTGGGGCCTCAAAGTGAGACTCAGTCATTGGGGCCTGATGGGGTTAACACTAGAGATGCGAGGACTCCCAACCTACGTAAGAGCTTGAAAAGTAAAAAACACAACTTCCAGACAAAGAACAAAACCCTAACTGAAGCTAAAGAGAAACCCAACTCACACACTACTGAAGACAACTCAACTGTAACTAAAACAATGGAGACTGCAACCCATAACTTCACTGAAAGTTCCTAAAGTTTCAGAAATTAATGACATTAATTGTATTATGTTGATAAGTAACTGACAAAATACTCAAAAGTGTCTGTATATTGAAATAAAATATTTTCATCTTGTTAAAGTTATATTTATGATCTGAACACAATATTTTATTAATCAAATATCAAGTTGAGAGACATTGAGATTATCTAGTGTTCCATTTACTAAGTCATGAACGATACATTTGTTGACATCAGCCCTCACAGTAAATACATTAATTTCATTCCGGATGTGATTAAAAATCTGTTATTGATGTCAATTGTACAACAAATTATAAACACATTTGTAGGCATCTTGAAACTAACCAGAAACAAGTCTTTATAAGTGAAATAGTTTTATTGTCATGTTTCATGTTTTATTGAGGTAAAAAAGAGTCAAGTCCAATTCAACTTTAATTTTTTTAATGGTTATAAACAACAATTAATACATCAATAATATACAACACGTGATTTTAATATGAACGTGGTGTTTTATTTTGTATCTCTTTACCCTGCAAGATGATTTATTATATTTGTTTAAACATTTTTTAAGTTGTAATAATTCATGAAGGTGGTTTTAGAATAATGTTGCCATATGAACAAAAAAAGTAATAAGGTTAACACACATGAGATTCTATAGCTTGTACTCATAGGTTACACAATGTATATTTGTGTATTGAGGGGTAAAGGGTGTTGGGATAATTTTTGCAATGTTTGTTCATCAGTAAAATAAACTGTGTTTTGAATATATTGTAACATACATATACTGTTTACATTCGACATACAAATTGAATAAAAAAGATGAATATTTTATAAAATGTATTTACTTTAATCATTTCCCCAACTTTTTAGATATACTTTAATCAAGTGTAACAATAGTACCCTAATTATTTCCAAATTCAAAGGGAAGAAGTGTTTTGCTGAGGAGATTAGAATTGATCTTTGTATGTGTATGTTCCTTATTTTATACAAAGTTGGCTTTGGCGCACAAGTTTAGATTTTGAATAACGAGTGAGTTTTAGACATCGAACAACAAATATAACAACAACCAAACATACAAGATACTGTACAATATGACTATTTACATTGTACAAGGGATGGTTTCAGTTTTTGTTTGAAGAGAGTTCCATGTGTTTGGTTGACAATTTTAAAGATACAACAGTAACATTTATTTAAATGTTTACTGAAAAATTTATACAAGACAAGTTTTTGATTTGTTTTGTAATTTGATATAAACCAAAAACAAATCTCCAAATACAATCAATGTTATAGACTGTCGATTATATAGTTTGTTTATAAAAAAATTATTATTAAAATAAAACTGTATTGACAATATTATATTTTATAACATGTCAAATTTAAGGTTACAAAAATGTGGTTCCACCTTTCGGATGTATTTAGCCTAAGAGCCAGTTGTATATTTTTATCAAGTTCAATTAAATACATCTTGGATTATAAACAACATCTTTTGAATGGTTATTTGAGTTGGATGTAAAATACTAAATGTTTAGCGTCTTCCAAAGGCTCGTTAAACTATAATATTCATTAATTTTGTTAAATTCATCGACGGTTTTATATATTGTTTTGATGAGTACATTTTTAACCTGGTAGTTTTTAGTTAGAAGATTCTATTTTCACTTTAGAATGTGTAACACTACAGTACACGAGCTGTGGACTTAAGAGTCTGCACATTAGAAAAATCACGCCGAAATAAGTGAATCCGCGAGCGAATGACATGACACGCCACCTACCTTCTCCCACTACCTTTCCAAGGAGCGTCAGTTGGCCTTGAGCTACGAGGGTGTAAAGTTAGGCATGTTATGTTTCAAGAGGATTAAGAACAGGCCAGTGATTGACTGATTGGTTTTCAACAGGACATTTTCAATTTGAAATATTTGTAATTATTTTGAAATTTATCCACAAATATTGACCTATTTTGGACTATTTGAAATGTTGATGCTCTATGAATTTTATTAGGTTTATAAAAGAGCATTTCCAGTAACACGTCCTTACTGGTGTTACTATTAGCCGCGCGTGTACTGGAGGGTTAAACTTTAATAAATGTCCGATTAAAAATAAAAATATTGATTTGACCCAGAATTGATTAAATGCTTATATAGATGAGATTTCTTTTATTGAAGTGAGATTCAAAAATAAATATTGAATGAAGTAAAATATAATAAATTATGTTCATACGATACCTATACCTGAAATTACCCAAATACCTGGATTATTGTGGTATGTGCACTTAACCAGCCTACTTGAAATTAGAAGAGACTTTACATACATAGGATTATATGTCATTTTACTCAATAACTTCACAATGAATATTAAATAAATGAATAAACCTCAAACCTTAAGCTGACAGTGCGTTCTTTGATATAAGTGTTAGTCAAGAGAAAATTAATACACATCTATGTTTATTAGGTAATTTATATTACCTAATAAACATATATTAGGTAATTTATTATAGGGTAATTCATAAATACAAAAAATTAGGTACCGTATTGGCAAAACCAAATTCCATCATATCATAACAATATGTTTGTTATGATTCCTGATCTATGAAAAAAATCTTCTGGGTTTTTAAATCAGATTTCTGTGAAGATAACCATATCAAACATCACTACTTTTTATTAATGCAAACAAGATAAACTGTGTGCAATCAAAGAATGTTTTTGCTCACACAATGCAATAGTTGGGTATTAAAATCCTGAGCTTTAAATAAATGTTGTTATGATTTATATTTTTAAACACAATAAATATACCAAATAAAGCACTATCAGGTTGTTGAATGGCCAGAATCTTTAGAGCAAGTTTCTCTAATGTTATGTATATTAGTATTATAAAGTGCTTTCTTTAATTCCTCCTAAAATTGGAAATAAGACATGCAAATACATCAAAGTATTAACATAATTGAAAACACAGAAAATACCATGAGAGTAAAAATTGTATTGTAGGAAAAAAATACTAATAATAAGAAAGAATAAAAATGTAAAATAAAGTTTGATAAACTTTTTTTTACCTTAATTTAATTGCAAAGATAGATATAAACAAAACATTGATTTTTGTTACTGTGTGTTGTGATTAGGGTGGTGTGTCTGGATTTCAAGGATTCACTTTGTTACCTACTCCCATGTGAAGCATTCAGGAACTCTAGAACTTCGAGTTACTACAAAATCCCCAAAAATTGCAAGAAGGAGAAACCAGTTATTTTTTTAATCATAAAATTATAAATAAATGTGGAATTATCTTAAAATTAAAACCTCCTTAGAGGGTATAAATGCCCCTTGTACTGGTAGATAGTTGGTACCAACTAAAATTTATCGATTAGTGATAAGTGTAGTGGTTATTGTTTGTTAAGTTAGCTGAATAGAGTATTCGAGATAAAAAATATCTTCCTTAACCTTTGGGGTATAAAAAACAAAATATGAGTTGAGTTAATCCAGGTGTGAAAATATTTTCATAGATACACTGTAAAACTCACAACATTTTAAAAATTGCTCAAAGATAGGAAAACTTTCAATAACCAAGCTTAATCCAAATGAGAAAAACACTAAGTTTTGGTAGCTACAGTTGTAATGGATAATCCGGTCCTGGATCCGGTCATCTGACACGGCCGGATGGAGAGCGCAAGTGTGACCGGATGTAACCGGTCCGGTAATCTATGACCGGTCGTTGCTGGTTAGCTTGGGCTCCATGTCTATGTCGTCGACTCCACCTTAAAAATACAATGAAAGTAATTATTGTTAGCTCAACAGAAAACCTGCAATTGACTATACTCTGTTCACAATATCTAGGCGGTTTGACAGGAAGCGATTCCATCCCATCTACCTTACCCTGACTTTGAAACAACAGCCGACAGCTGATATATACCTATCATTAAGCTAAAAAAAAGTGTTGGGGGAACCCAGTAGGAAGGGAAACCTTCCCCTTAAACCGCCTAAATGTTATAAATGAACTGTAGTTTATATGTAATGCTAACCAACTTTCAGGAAGTAACTTTTACTTTCATGTAAAACATCAGCCAAAGCTAACATTTGAGAGTGAAAAAGTACCTAGTCAAGCTTTAATTTTTCTAGAATGAAGGGCCATAGAAGCAGGTTTCCAAAAATAACCTCATGACTTTAGGATGACAACAACAAAAAATACAATTATTTATGTTACCATTTATATTCACCTTTTTTTATTCTTGGTAATTAAAATGTTGGGTTGCTATGACACAACTAAGTTTTCCTACCCTCAATCAATTTTTGTATCACCCACTTTGAGAGTTGTTATGTCAATGGCTTTTGAGTACTATGTGACAGATATATCGGCGTTTACTAAAATCTCTAAGGGATATAAAGAGGAAGGTTATTTTAACAAAAAGTAGCAAAACGGCCATTGGTGACCTGCATGTTCATAGGATACACTAACAACCATTTAGCTAAAAGATTCGCCCAATCCTATGATTCGAGATGTATGTCTAAACCAAGGATTATGAACACCTCACTATGCCCCAGTGGTTGTAGTAGGCTATATCGCTACAAACACACAGGTCACCAATTATTTGCCACACAGGACGGGAATCGAACCAGAGCAAAAGAATGCCACTGGCCAAGTGACACACGCCCTTGCCTTCTCGGCTATCTGTGCTTGGAGACTGAGAAGTCAAAAACCGGTATTTAAGCTGACACCAACGATTGCGAACAGATAGCGCTACAGCAGGTTGTTCAATGCGTTACAAGGTAGCAGCACTAGTTAGTCACGGACAATTTAGATGATATTTTTCAGTTGAACCACTACAGTGATCATAAATTGTGTCACCGGTATTGAGGCTTTGCTGCAAAACACTATTTTCCTAAAATGGCTATATTATAACCTTATCAAACTAAATTAAGGTTAAATTCTATATTAAATTGTAAACTAGATGTCTTTTGATTTTATTAGATTTTGCTTTCAAACAATGCTATCAGAACATTAAAATTTATAATTTATTTATGTGGTCTAAGGTAGTCCACAAGGTTGTGTGTGGTAATAGATTTGAGGTACTTTCTGTTGACAATGATGATAAGGAACAGCCTAACTCTACTAAATTAGTCTCTGCTAAGCCAGTCAGAAGTTTGGATATTCGAAATTCAAACAAACCTATCAATGTAGACCATGATAGGCCTTGTAGCATAAAATCTAATGTTAAGGTCAAATTAGCAAACACTAGTTGTAAGACTGATTCCTCTAACTGTCGACTAGCTGCTTCCAAACACCACCTTGTATCTTCTAAAAAACCTCTCAAGCTGTTTAGCGACAGCCACGGGAGATCGCTCTTGCCTCTATTGACGGAGAAGTTTGGAACCGAATTTAATTCGTTTGCTCATGTGATACCAAATGGTAAGATGTGTCACATTTTGGAGGCAGCTGGACGTTCGTTGCAGGATGATGGTCAGGTAGGGTACACCGTCATAATGGCAGGAACCAATGATATTTCAAACGAGTCTGACATAAGTATATTTCCAAACAGATAGATGATGTTTTATCAACTTACAGTAAGCCTCAAATACTTGTGATGGCTGTGCCCATCAGATATGACTTGCCACTCTTAAACAATGTTATAGTCAATGTAAACGAACAACTTGCCAGTGTATGTTCTAAACATAGTAATGCGACATTCGTACCCTTGTTTGTACATAGAGGTCATTTCACCAGACATGGGCTGCACTTTAATCATGTGGGCAAACGCAGAATTGTTAGTTTGCTCGGCAACATTATGCTGAAACAAAGAGATCCCTTGTTGCAAAAAACTCGCACTAAAAACTTAATTGGTGTTAAAAATGATAGTGTTTTGGTCTCAAACTCCTCTCTCCCAAAAATGTCTTCATCAGTCAGCATTTCTCCACGTCCCTACAGCACTAGAGTATTTTATAGTACACGATATTCTTCCAAATCTGGGTTGCTTCCTAACGAAGACCGTACTTTTTTAGGATTAGGCAGGAGAAAGCTTCAGAGCAGAGGGTAGCAAGAAAAACTTCTAACTTAGGCCCTAAATCCTCTATTTCAGTTTTCCACCAAAACATCTGCGGTGTTAGGACAAACAAAGAACTTCTAGAAATCCATTTAGAAAGTGAAGCCCCTGACATCTTATGCCTGACAGAGCATAATCTGACACAAGATCAGTTCAATTGCTTTTCTTTGCTGGAATACACAAACATCGCGGCTTTCTGCTGTCAATCTCGTCAAAGAGGTGGAGTCTGCTTGCTAGCCAGAAGGGGTATTCAGATTATTGATGTGGATGTGTCCCGGTTTTGCTCTGAGGTTTCTTGTCATCTAGCGGCGTCCAAAATTGTGTTATCGAACCATGACGCAGTCGTAGTTCTTGGTGTCTACAGGAGCCCTAGTTATGCTTGCGATGAGTTTTTTGAGCTCTTAGGAGAATGTCTGGATTTTATTCTTCAAAATGCACGCAAGATTGTTGTCCTGTGGGTGATTTCAATATTAATATTCTGAGTGACGGATTTTCGAGCACAAGCTTTCTGCACATAATGCGATCATACGGCCTGCATCATAAAATATCATCATATACAAGGGAGTTTAAGAACTCTAAGACGGTCATTGACAATATCTTCACAAACATTGACTCCCAGTTAATTAGTTGTAGGGTTGTTAAGGCCGCCTTGTCAGATCACCATGGCCAAGAAGCCGTAATTAATCTATCTCCTTCACCTCCACCATCTGGACCTTTGTTTATTCAATGTCGTATATTTAATTTGGAAAATATTGGTTGTTTTAGGCATAATTTAAATAAGGAAACCTAGACTGGCATGCTAGATCAACAGAGTACAGATAAAAAATTCAGTGAATTTCTTCAAACCATAAAATACTGTTTCGATATATCCTTTCCTATAACGAAAACAAAAGTCCATCGTCATAAGTCTTCAAATAAACCAGTCATCACGCCAGAGATATTGAACCTTAAAAAGCAACTGCAGTTTCTTTACTCATTGTCAAAGGATCTTGATTCGTCACACCCTATCCGCTTGAAGTACAGAGATATGAAAAGAAACTTCAAAATGGCTGTCCGTAAAGCAAAATCAGACAAAATCCTTAGTAAGATATCTGAGTCATCGAACAAATCAAAGACAATATGGGGAATCATAAATGACACCAAAGGTCCTAAATTAAAGGACAACTTCGACATTTCATTGGTTGACAAAGATTGCGGTACAGTAGGAGATCCAGGGACAGTCGCTAGAATCTTTAATAAATTCTTCTCTGATATCGGGACTGAATTTCACACTGAAAGTGACTGTATAGATAGGGTGAACTCGCTGTCAGAGTCTCTCAATTTTGTAAGCAATTCTCTATTTTTGTCCCCTGTCACCAAACCCGAGGTAGAAGAAGTCATACTTTCACTCAAACCAAAACCATCGAGTGGGTCAGATGAAATTTCTTCTCGACTTCTTAGAGAAACATATGATCTAGTTTCTGCTCCATTGGTCCATCTGATAAATTGTTCTTTTGAAGAGGGATGCTTTCCATCTTCCCTAAAACATGCCATTGTTAGGCCTATTCATAAGAATGGAAGCAAATTTGATTGTAGCAACTATCGGCCAATTTCCTTAATTTCAACTTTCTCCAAGGTTTTCGAACGTCTTTTTCTGAACAGACTCTTGTCATTTTTGGAGGAAAATAATATCTTGTCTTCCCACCAGTTTGGGTTTATAAAGGGAAAATCGACCCTCGACGCAGTCAATCATGTTGTATCATTCTTGTCAGGAGCCCTAGATTCTGGAGACGCTGCACTGGGAATAAATTTTGACCTGTCTAAAGCATTTGATATGGTTGATCACCCTACTCTTCTGGAAAAGCTTTACCGTCTTGGAGTACGGGGCTTAGCTCACGAATGGGTGTCATCCTTTCTTCGAGAAAGAACTCAATCAGTCCGGATACCCTTTGTTGACTCCCAAGGAATTCGTAATCATGCTACCTCTGCTTCGTCTGTTGTTATTCGGGGTGTTCCCCAGGGTTCTATCATCGGCCCAATCCTGTTTTTGCTCTTCATTAATGACCTGCCTTCTTTTGTATCAAATAATCCAAGTTCAAATGTAGATGTTTGTTTATATGCCGACGACACCTCACTTTGCTTCTCAGCTAAAGACGTGGCTCATCTAGAGACAACAGCATTTGAGAGTTCCAATAGAGCTTTGCAATGGTTCCAAAACAACAAACTTCTTCTAAACTGCAAGAAAACAAAAATGCTCCAATACCATATTAACAGCTCAAAAAAGCAAGTCCCACTGACTGTTTTGATAGGTGACGAAGAGATCTCTTCTTGTAACAATGCTAAGTTTCTTGGTTTGGTTTTAGACAGACAGCTCAACTTTCATGACCATATAGAGCTCATATCCAGAAGAATTAGCACAGGAATTTTTGTGATCAGAGGTCTTTCGAGGTTTACCGATTCTCGTGTAACCTTGAGTGCCTATTATGGACTGATTTACCCATTATTGTCGTATTTGGTGGCAGTTTGGGGCTGTGAGAGCGTACGAACAAAGTTTGTCTTCCGTCTTCAGAAAAAAGCCCTAAGAGCAGCCTTCAGAATATCCCGTCTTACTTCTTGCAAGCCTCTCTTCAAGGAATACAATATCCTCACATTTCCATCCATATACATACTCAGTTGTCTATCGTTTTTAAAAAGAAATTATCATCTGTATCAACCACAGTTCCATTCAATGCAGTACACTC